ACCGTGGCGGCGCTCAGTAAGTGCCTGCGGGGCGGCCCTGGGGGCCCGTGCGTGTCCGTACGTGCCCACCTCTGCCTGTGAGGGGACAGTGGGGTGCGACGGCAGCAGGCGATGCCCAGGAGCATTGGGGCACTTTGCTCCAATGGCATGGAGAGAGGAAGGGAAGCGGAGCCACTTCCAGTGGGATGCTGGATGCGGGGAGCGTCTCGCCTCACTTGCACCCAGGCCTCCAGCACGGCCCTCCAGGCTTGGCCCTTTGCTGGCGCGTTTGGGTGAGCCCCGGTACGTGCCGTGCATGGAGGGCTGCCCAGCATCTCCCGATCCGCGTTCCATCGCTGCTCTGGGCATCTTTAGCCTCCTCACCAGCAGCCGGGGTAGAAGGAGCAGGAGAGGCCACCCGGCTGCGGTGGGGTCTCGGCACAGGGCACCTTTAGTGTGCAAGACTTATGCCCTACAGCCTTGGCTGCTGAGGAGGGCCCAGGTAATGATATCAGGTCCGCTGCCTCTTGAGGAAGTTTCTACTCAGCTACATCAGGCGCTAACCACCACTGAAGATAGCCAGCTCACAACAGAGGTGTTTTGGGATGATTGACTTGAGATTTGTCTCCCATAAAAAACTCCTGGCTTCTTGCTGCGTTGCCCTTGTGGTTTGAACGCTATTTGGTTACTTGAGTGTCTGGCTTTTCTGGAGGAGTCTCGTAAATGTTCTCAGGGTTGTCTCACTTTGTGCTTTTGGTACTTGTTGGACCTGAATAAATGCAATGTTGATGTCACTAATGTTGAGGCAGACACACAAAAATTAGGTGACTGAGAATTCAAGGGGCAAAAAGCAATGTAGGAGAACACATGCTTGTGCTGTGTTTTTAAATTGTTTTCTGCATAGTACCTGTGCCTGCAATCATGCTGTTGTCCACAGCATTGTAGGAGTCTGTGTTCAAGCAGCTCAAACTGTAGCTTGTAGTAAGACCTGTGTGGACATTGTGATTTGCACAATGTCACCTCAGGATCTGGGTCCCCTAAGCTGAATCTTCCACAATGTACTCTGGCAGGACATGCAGAATAAAATGATGAAAGCCAGAAAAGTCATCAAGGGGCAGCTGATTTTCTCAAGAATGGTTCTGATAGTGGGAAAATTTTGACCAGTCATGGAAAAGATCTTATTGCCACACTGTAGGGATTTTTGTTTGTTTTGCTTATTATATTTTATTAGAGTTTCATTTTGTGCAATATTTTGGGGGTTCCGTTTCTTGCAAAATTCTTTGGTAATAGTGGACATAAATGTGTTACATTTTTCTAGAGGGGGGTTTTGTGTCAGATTTCAGTGAACTGGCAGTGAAAAGTCAGTTAGTACTGAGCAGAACTTTACTCACTTTCCCTGAAAAAAAAAAAAACCTGTTGACATGAAAACTGAATACTACTGGGGTTTGGTCTGTATTTTGTTATTCTGATAAAAATCTAAAACAGCTCCACTTCCTAACGCCAATGTGCACGAATAAAAGAGAGAGTCCAGTATTCACTTAGACAGCCCTGAGCCACCTGTATGACCAGTGGTTGGAATGACTTGAAATCTCTCTAATTAAAGGAATCATCAACACTGAGTAGTTTTTGCTCCCGCACTGTTGCCATCCCCTGTTTGAATTGCTATGCCTGAAATGATTTAGTGGCTGGGAAGTTGCCCAGATGAAAAGGACCTACCTGGTGGTGCTGCTCAGCATCCATCTGAACATGATCCAGCAGTGTGCCCAGGTGAACAAAGAGGCCAGTGGCATCCTGGTCTATCTCTAAATAGGAGTGTGTGCAGAGAAGGACAATGGAGGCAGTGAAGGATCTGTGGCACAAGCCCTGTGAGGAGCAGCTGAGGGAGCTGGGGTTGTTCAGCCTGGAGAAAAGGAGGCTCAGGAGAGACCTTATCACTCTTTACAACTGCTGAAAAGAGGGTGTAGCCAGGGGAGGGTTGGCCTCTTCTCCCTGCTAAAAAGTGAAAGGACAAGAGGACATAGCCTCTACTTGCCCCAGGGGGAGGTTCAGATTGGATATTAGGAGAAATTTCTTCATGGAAAGGATGGTCAGGTATACAGAAACAGGCTATGAGGGAACTACTGTTCCTGGAAGTGATCCAAAAGTGCGTGGATGTGGAAGCTGGGAATCATGGTTTAAATGATGAACACAGTGGTACTAATTTAATGGTTGAGCCCAATGATCTTGGACATGTTTTCTAATCTGAATGATTTTGTGATTCTATGAATATAGAATTTATACAGTCTCTCTTAAAATGTGTTAGAGGAATTCTGAAGTAGTGATTTGTATAGGGTAAAGGGCCTGTTTGCCTTACCTTTTGGAAGTCAAGTGTCATGCCTTGAGATTACTGCAATCATGTCTGTGTTGGCATTCAGCCCACCCATGGTAATAACTTTGTCATTTTATTTCATTTAATTCCTCTATTCCTTCCTGGGTTGGTTCCTGTATTGTGGGAAGAGCTAGTTTGTCCAGTGGAGCCTGTTTAGATAACTTCTGTTTATGCAGCAGAGGACCAGAAAAGGAGGGAAAACCAGTAGTAGGTATTGTGCTGGTGAATTTAGAAGAATTGTGAAGAGGAAGCTTCACAGCAGGGTGGTAACAGAAACAACATTAATTCTGTTTTGTTTGACTTGCCTTTAGGTTGTTGCTAACCAGAGAACTTGGCAGTGGGAGGTTAACATAAACTTTGTATATGTGTGGTTTCAGACATACTAGTCCTCGGGTTGTGTTAGTTTTGGCCTCTTTGTCTTGTTTTCTGTTTCTAAAATAAAGTTCATTAAAAATTGCATATCTGTGGTGAGAAGGAGTTATGCAACTGTGCCTTATGCAAATCTCTACAGTAAATAAAAGCAGATTGGTATACCTGGAACACTTAAGTTGTACAACAGTTTATGTAGTTTTGCCCTTGCACCCTCATGTAAACAGAACTGTAGAGAGGAATATTCATAGATGGACAGTGAAGGCTTGAGAAGAAATTTTAGTCATTGGTTTTTTTTTTTTTTTTCCCATGGTTACCAAGTATCTCTGCCCTTGAACAAGCATGACATCTGCACTTGTGTAAAGTTTAATTGCTTCTATAATAATTTTGTACTGGAAGAAATTTAAATGTTGAATTTAACCTAGTTCCAGTGGCAGAAGGGAATGAGGATTGTCCTAGAAGTGGTGTTACAAAAAAAGAAATCTGAAAAAACACACACTTGTGCAGAATCAATACAGGCTATAGACCGCTGGCAAACTCCTCATTAAAATAAACACTTTCAAATATGTAAGCTAGCAAATTTGATGCTGTCTTGTGGATGGATGATTTAATACTTTTTCCTCTCTTGATATCTTATAAAGATAATGATGACTGTGTTAGTCACAAATTGATTATGTTTCATAATTTCCTTACTGTATACACAGATTTAATACCTGAAAAATATTTGCATCCTTGATATCCTTGATATCCTTTGCATCCTTTCCAGCAGTGGGAAAATATTGTAAAGATCTCCAATTGCCTGAATGTCAGCAATTTATAAAGTGAGTACTTGTCCTGTAATGGAAACCTAAACTAAAAAACTTTTGGAAAAATCAAGAAATCGAAAATCATTGCAGGAAACCTAGTTGCATATCCCTAAACCCCTTAATCTGCATAGTGATGTGATATCAACAGAAGAGTTTTCTGTTCTGCTGTAAGTTGAATAGTATTTTTGAGGATAGGAGTTTGTTTTCCTTCTCTCATGATGTCACTGTAGGGTGGAGGGTAAAATTCACTGTTTTGAATTGAATGACACATTTTGCTGGAGGCTTTTTTCCCCCCCTGTCTGCTGGCAATCCTAAAGCTTCAGTCATCTCCAGAAGGATGGGTGACAGCCTGAAACAATTCTTCCAGGAATTCTCTGAACTAGAAGATCAATACATTCTGCAGAAGAAACCTAGAGTCTTGAAGGATAAAGAAAAATTGTCATTGATTTAGAAATTTCTGCTTAATACAACAGGGAGTATAGTTAGAGATGCTATTCCTAGTTCAAACACGTTACATTTTCAGTGGTTTGCAGATGAAGTGAACTGCACAAGGTAGTTCTGGACTGCTCTCAAGGCAATTGCTAAACTAAACTTAGGCTATAGTGCTGAAAATATGGTGATTTAACTTTATTATGGCAGGTAGTTTCAGTGAAAAGCTGTCAACAGGAGTGCTCTGCTATTGAATTTCAGCATAATAATGTGTTTTCTCAAGGACAGAGCCAAAGGCTGCAGAGATTTTTTGGTTTTTGCAAGCTCTTTGATTCTGCAGCTGTTTTATAAAGGATGTTACATCACCTGTTAAGTTAAATCCTAAATGACCATGGTGTCTGGAAAGTACAGAAGTTCAAAGCTGATACAGTGTGTGTTTTTGCAAATATGTCTGAGGTTTTTCCTGGCTTTTACCCTCAGACCTGGGAAGTTAGCCTTTACTAGAGACAAACTTACCCAGAGTTAAGGTGTGTGTGCACTCTGGGGAGGAGCTCTGTGCCTCCTCTGCTGCTTCAGTTGCAGGTGTGTGTGTGGTTCTCTGATGCAGCAGAGTGAAATCAGGGTAAAGCCCTGCAAAACCAGGAAGTAGCAGTTATTTACCTGTGCTTTATCTTTTCCTTCTTTTGTACAGAAAGCTGTTTCTGTGCTCTATGTACATTCACTGTTTACAATTAGCTTTGCTTTTGTGGTTATGTGAACAACTGTGCCACTGAGTGGGGTGTGGAAATCAGGCACCAATACTTGTGTAAGTACTGTGAATGCATTTCTAAGCACTCTATCCAATACAGTGAGCCCTCCACCATGGCTCATTTCTACTCCTACACCTGAATATTCATACAGCTAGCACAAACTTCTGGGAAGTTTTCTGTAGTGTAGTGGTGGTCAAACTTTTCCATTTGTGGAAGCAGTCTCCAGAGCAGAAGTCCTGTCTTCCTTGGTTATGCTGGCACTGGGCACTTGCAAGCTGTGGTTTCTCAGGCTGAACATCACTGCTTTAGATGATAGGAAAAAGTGTGTGTTGCAATTCTTTCACTATTGTCAAAATGCAAACTGGGTGCAGAGAGGAGGGAAGATGTGTTTGTGTAAATGTTGAGTGTTGATTACAAGGCTTGTTTTCTATGCTAGGAGACAAGTAGTGGTTGTGATGGATGAATTCTTTGTAGTGGTTATGTCTGTAGTGACTGCTGCAAGTTTCTATGCAAATGTGAGTCATCTGTGGCAGAAACCATGTAAAGATAATGGCCAAGCTTCAGAGAAATCACTTAGGGACTTCCCTTTTATTTTTGTGACTGCCTGCAACAGCATGGAGCTGGCCAGTAGAAACTTGGTGGTTTCATTAATCCATTATTATTTGATTGTGAATTAATATATTCATATATGCACATCCAAGTATGCAAACATTATCTCTCACTAGGAGCAGATTGTTCTCAATCTAATACAGAAAGCCAGGGAACTGGTCTTTCCAAGATGCCAATTTTCTGGTTTGTTCATTGTGTTTTCAACCAGAAATGTATCTTACTAGAAAATTAGTAAATACATTGCTTAATGTTTTAACTATTTGGATTCTCTTAACTGTAGCTCTGACCACAGATTTCTTCCCAACTCTGCACTGCTTGGCCTGTATGGTGTTTCTGAATACAGTCTGACTTTCATAATGCCTGTGTAGCTTGGATAGAATGTGATCAGGAAGATTTTAGAGGTGAAAGATATTGAAAATACAACAAAATAGTTTAAATGTGTCTGCAGATGACTGAAAACACAATTTGGAGGTAATCGTCTAAACTCACATCACAGCAGATATTGGACTTATTTCTAGGTAAGGTGCTTATGGTAATGTATAGATGGGAGTTTTGGTATGAGACTTCTGTTTGATTATAGTTTTTCCCTGTTTCTGGGGCAAGTTCACACCTCTTTCTCCCAAATGCTAAATGACACAAATAAAGCGATCTCATGCCACCAATCCTATGTTTCTTAAAGTACTTAGAAATATGCTTGATATTACATTTTTATAGCAGTACCCTACAGCCAAGCAGGTGACTATTTCCAGAATTGGGCTGAGAAATCACAAGGGAGAAACAGAATCTATAACTCAGTCTCAGACTCTTTTTTTTTTTTTTTTCAAGAACTTTTCCTTCATTTTTGTCTTGAAGTTGCAGGTATTACTGTGTCTGTCCTTAGTGTTGGACTTGGAATTTTGGTACCTTTCTCTACCCTCTTCCTCCAGTCACTGACCTTTCTGGGATCCATGTGCTTGAGAGTTGTGCTGATTCTTGCTGAAGTCTGGGGGTTCAGCCCTAAGCAGGGATTGAATGAAGGAAACTGCATATGTTTGGCCAGTTCCTTCTAGCTGGCAAATTGAAATTGCAGCTTTTACAAGCAAGAAGTCACACTTGGTCAGGCCATATGGTATAATGTAATTGTATATCTTTTCATGGTGTGGGGTTTTTTGGCTCTGAAATATTTTATGCATGGAAAAGGTCACTTTTAATTTCTTATATTGTAGCTTGGTTTCATTGAATTATTGCATGCCTCTTGTTTTACAAGGGTTACAAGTGTTTCATAGAATTATTTCCCTTTAACTCTTCATCCAACAAAGTAGCACATAAGTTTTTTTCTCTGGGTAGCCGCAGTCTTTCTGATTCTGACTCATGTTCTAGCATTCCTCAAATGCCCTAGGAGATCTTTCAGGTTTTGATGACAGTTATTTGAGATTTCAATGAGATTTTGAGATTTATAAATACTTCTTTTTAATAACAGGATATGAACCTGGCTCAAGCCCTCTTCAATAATGTGCTTTGTGCAGCACCGAGGAGTTTAACAGGACAGGATGCTTCAAATTCCATTGGTATCTTTAGCAAAGGGAATTTACACACACCATGCCCCCAGATGTGGTCCAGAGGCACTAAGACATTCTGGCTTCTCTCTGCATGACCCACAGGCGTGGCTGTGTCTGTTGGGTGTCTTCCTTTCCTGCTCCTTCCTTGCAGGCAGCCGTGCTGGTGCTGCTTGCCTGATTTTTGGCTGTTTGGATGGCCTGGAAAGGCCCGGGGTGACCTTGGGGCAGCCCGCGTTTCAAAGGAACAGAAGAGGCTTCAGTTCTTTTCTTGGTCTCGGTGTTTATTAATTGTTTATCTAAAAGATTTTCTCTCGGCCCGACAGAGGTCTGCTCAGCAGCCAGCCATGAGCACACTCCCCTCCCTCCGGGGCGGTCACCTATCTTTATACCCAAAGTTACGTGTACAATATTTATCATTTTTCCCCAATACCTTTCACCCTTATTGACCAGTGCACTTTTAGTAATGACCAATCCCAAAGTGCCACCATCACCACAGAAGATGGAGGAGAAGAAGAAGAAGGACAGGACACGCCCCAATTCCTCCATCTTACTTCTCTAAACCCCCCTGTACAGAAATCCTAAACCCTGTGTTTCACTCTCTAACTAACTAATCCCTTCACCATTCACCCCGGTGAAATCCTCCTATCCTCATACAGGTGTCGTCTCCTGTGTAGGATCAAAGTCCAGCCACCAGACACTTCTGGCAACATTCCAGGACTCCCGAGCCCCCCCCCCAAGGGTGGTCTCGGTGACTCGGCACCTCAGTCCTGAGGTGCTGAGATCCCACAGCTGCTGTGCAGGCACAGGCTCTGACAAGTGTCCTGCCCAGAATGGCAGCGTTCCTGTGCCAGGACTGCCAAAACTCAGCTCTTTGGCTGCGTGTTTGGAGCAGTCCTGTGCCAGCAGCTGATGGGGGTGTGATGCCACTGGCTTGACCTGGGAAACTCCAGTGGGTTCCATACATGCCAGTGGCAGGTACTTCTGGCCAGCAGTGGAATGAGCTATGTGTTGCCTAATTCTACACTGCAATAAATTCCATTCTTTTGGATTGTGCTCTTACCAGACACTTTAACAGCCAACTTTCCAGCTTGTAATTCTATTTTGAAGAGCATTGCCATGCTTTTGAAGTGACTTGAAATGCTTTCAGGTTGTGCCTGGCCTGCAGCTTTATGACCTCCCGCATCTGTCTCAGATCTGAATCTCTTGGTGTTTCCCTTGTTTTAGATTTCTTCCTAAAGCTGGAATGTTTGGAGCAAGAATTTTGGTTTTGGTTTTCCCTTTTTATTTTAAAGTAGCACAATTATTTTAGTGTAGACAGCTTTTAAAGGAGGGTTTAAGAAAAAATTTAAGAAAAAATTGTCAGTTTATTGTTGCTGCTCTTTTATACTTAGTAAAGATGCCATGGAAAGTGAAACATCACCTTTTTAAACCTGCTTTTTTTAATACATAAGAAAGCCTTGACAGGGAGGTTTTTTCAAAGATAGAAATGTTGTTATAGTCTATCTAAACTGGTTTTGTGAAATTGAGGTTTTTTTAAGTGCCTGAGAACTGAGCTTGCTGAGTCTCAGCCCTTAAAATGTGCCATTACTGAGTATTTAAATCATTATTGTCCAGAGGTTTATGTTACCCAATAAAAATCACTTTATCCTCTGTCTGCTGCTTATGCTTTACTTCACTGGTGTGTGTGATATCAACATTTTACTAGTTTCTCTGATTTACTCAGTGTTCTAAGAAAGTAGAGTAAGTAAATTGTGAAACTATGGTAGTAAAAACAAAATTAAGAAAGAGTTAAACAAGTCTTCTTTATTTGTTACAAATGCAAAAAATTGAGATAAACATGTTTTAATTACTCTTGGGGGTTGCCTCTGCTAAGGAATTTTGCAAGAGGAATTGTCCTTCATTTCACTTCAAAGTGTCAGCAATATATGGGATATTTATTTGTTTTCTGTGTTTCTCACTGAGCTCTTTGCCTCTTGAGATTTATAAAGAGAAGTCTCTTTCTTTGCTCTTCTATCATCCATTGCAAGCAGTTCAGTTTGTCCTTTTTATACCCAGAGGTTTCAGGTTTTAACTGCTGAGTTAATTAGGAGCATAAGATTGCATATTATTAGCAAATCTCTGAAAGTATTATGTTGCTGTTTATCTGTAGTTCAAGAAGTAAAAGGACATTTGAGGGTTGCAGTCTATTTTCCTCATTTGAGAGATTAACCTTGCTCCTCATTGGGAAATATATACAAAATGAAGACTTAGTCATTCAGGAAGTATGCTGGTTTTATGTTAAAGTAGCCAGTGGCAAGTTTGATCTGTGGTCTGGCTTAATGTCTAAATGTTCAGTATGTGCCCATTGAATTTGCTTGTTGCAGAAATGCACAGATGTAACACGAGCATCTGACCCTTTATTTATTTAATTAACTAATTCTTACTTCACTAAAATATGTGTAATTCCTCTTGAAATCAACATCTGGTGTTGTGTCTACATCAAATCATGTTATCTTGCATTAAAAATCCAGTTCTGTCTGGAATTAGACTGAGAGTCTGGAAGTATAAACTCTCTCTTGTTGTACATCAAGACATATCAATATACTGTCATCAAGATATTATATTTTAGCTTATGGCAAGACTGATTTATTCTTGCTCTTATTTTAGAGCAGTGTAAATTTTACATGTGCTCATGTATTTCTTTATTTATTCTGACTTATCTGTGGCATCTGTACCATAGAATAAAATTGTTACTAACAACCAGGTTGATTTGAAAATAAAGGAAGCGCTCTTTTTTTCTTCTAGGGTGGTGTGTGGAGATGGGCATTTCTGTCCCTCCATGTTTTAATCTCTGTAGTTTTACAGCATTTTAAACCTACCTTTGCACTGTAGTCTTGTTGACTGAGAAAAATCAACTTAGGTAGCATTGGTTCCTATGCAATAGGAATAAAAGCAATCTGAAAATTTGACTGGATAACTAATTTTCCTGCCTTTCTCTTTGCTCCTTAGCTCCAGAAGAAAAGGATGCAATTAAAGGACAGTATGAAAAGCTCGTGGATGCTTTTGGCTGCTTAGGAGAGCTTCAGCTTAAATGTGGTAAGTCACCATCTGTATGCCTGAGATTATAAAATGCCCAGACAATTCTAAATGACAACAAGTGGCTAAAGTTGTCTAATTCCTTAAATTGTGAAAGCTAGTTGCACTTTGTCATGTACAGTCTGGAAAATATTTGTTTCTTTTTCTATTTTGGGCCAAAACCATGTCACTGAATGATGGATGGATTTTTTCTGAATTTGTTTTGTCTAACATTCTTAGCTGCCTGAAGATAATTGCCATTCTTCTTCTCCTACCACATTTGTCCAAGGCAAGCTATGATTTCTTAATTCTTCTCTTCTTTAAGGATCATGTTTAGACACTGATTGTCATGGTCATCTGAGAGTACAGTACTGCAGATTGCCAGTTCTTGCTGTAATGCCTAATTGCCTTTAATCATTCATATGGATAAGGATTTGCAGAAGACGACCTCTGGCTTCAGTTAGTATAGTGAGAAATGTTTATTGTCATCAATGTAAATTTTGGTACAGTTTGGCAATCTTGATTTAGCAAAGGACTTGTCATTACACTGCCTGCAGGAATGTTAATGGAAATAACATGTTTTAAGAAGAGAACTGCAGTGATTGATTTGAAGATAATAGGGCCTTACACAGTGCTTAAAAATCACAGATGATTTAGATGCATAAATAAAAAAGCACTGTACGCGTTGTTCCCGGGCTGGTACAATGAGCCCTAATTTTCACTTGGAGAAATGACAAGACTTTTCCATGTAACTTGATGCCTGGTCAAGGAGTCTACCAAAGGCAGTAGTGGTGTGAGCACTGGTGTATTTAGGCCAGTAGATATAACTGTGTGGTTTTATACCCTGCTTACCATTTTGCAGCTTGAGAAATATGACTTGAAATTGACCTGAAGAGGCAAGTGCAAGCTGAAGAATTTTTGTGTCATAATTTAAAACTGTAGGTCCTTCTAGTTTTTTTTTAATGAATGTGGACTTTGTTTGTTTTGTTTCTTGTGGAGTTAATTAGACATTTCTCTGGAGATTTATATCAATTTGCTAATGTAATTTAAAGCGGAGGACTCGTGATTAGTTTTTCTTGGCACTTGGGTCTGTTTTTCTTCATAGAAATCTAATGAATCCTGTTGTAGTAATAAAGGAATGTAGCTATTTAAACCAATCTCTTCAAGCTACATATAAGGGTAGTTTTTGTATGTGGTGGGAACCAAATGTATCCAATTTTTGTCTTCATGTTAAAAGGTGAATGATTTTAAATGGGGTGTGAAATATTCTCAGCCTTACTGTTTCTCATGTCCTTATTTCTTCTCAAACAACATATGCTTAACTTCAGTGCTCTGAAAGTGTGAGGGTTTTTCCTTTCTGAGCTTTGTCACTGTACCTCTGCCTTGTTCTAGCATTAGATTACAAGTTCTGGTACAGGACTTGCTTTGGAAGGGATTGTTAAAATTCAGTGAAAAGTCAGAGGGTCATGCTGTAATGGTAAGTGAAGGTAAGCAAACCTTTTCTGCTTCTGAACATGTTTCAAAAAGCAAAGATACATGTCTGCTATCTCACTATTCAAGATGTAGCCCGAGTTTTTGTCACAGTCTGGTTTAGACTTTCCATCTTACATGTGAGTTCCATCCCTTTAGCTGTTGATTATGTAAAAGATTACCACTACAAAGTAATTATGCTGGGTTTGTGTAGCAAGGTTTTGGTAGCAGGAGAGGCTACAGGTGTGGCTTCTCTGAAATGCTGCCAGCAGCTTCCCCTATGTCCAATGGAGACAATGCCAGCAGGCTCCAAGACAGAAGTGCTGCTGGACAAGGCTGAACCCATCAGCAGCAGTGGTAGTGCCTCTGGGATAACAGATTTAAGAAGAGGGAAAAAAACTGCCCAGCTGAAGCTGGAGAAGGGCAGAGTTAGAATATGTGAGAGAAAGAGCTCTGCAGGCACCGGGGCCAGCGAGGAAGGAGGGGCAGGAGGTGCTCCAGGTGCCTGAGCTCAGATTCCCCTGCAGCCCCTGGTGCAACCATGGGGAAGCAGCTGTGCCCCTGCATTCCATGGAGATCCATGGTGGGGCAGAGACCCACCTGCAGCCCATGGGGTCCATGGTGGGGCAGAAATCCACCTGCTGCCCATGGAGATCCATGGTGGGGCAGAAATCCACCTGCTGCCCATGGAGATCCATGGTGGGGCAGAAATCCACCTGCAGCCCATGGAGTCCATGGTGGGGCAGAAATCCACCTGCAGCCCATGCCAGAGCAGGGAGATGCCTGAAGGTGACTGTGACCCTTTGGGAGGCACACTGTGGAGCAGGGTCCTGGATGGACCCATGCAGAGAGGAGCCCATGCTGGAGCAGGTTTACTGGCCAGATTTGTGACAGTTTGTTCCAGAAGGTCCGCACCTTCTGTGAGGGGCCCACTCTGGAGCAGTTTGTGAACAACTGCAGCCCATGGGATGGAGTCATGCTGGAGAAGCTCAAGTAGGACTGTCTTCCATGGGAGAGTCTCCATGCTTGAGCAGGGGAAGAGTGTGAGGAGTCCTCCCCATGAGGAGAAAGGAGTTACAGAAACGATGTGTGATGAACTGATCACAGCCTCTATTTCTCATCCCCCTGTACCACTGGGGAAGAGAAAATTGGGAGTAAAGTTAAGCCTGGGAAAAAAGGAGATGTGGAGGAAGGTGTTTTGCTCATTGTCCTACTCTGTTTTGATTTGTGATAAATAAAACTAATTTCCCCAAGTTAAGCCTGTTTTGCCCATAACTGCTCAATTATCTCTCCCTGCCCTTATTTTGACCCATAAGCCTTTCATTTTATTTGTCTCCCCTGCCCAGCTGAGGAGGGGAGTAACAGAATAGCTTTGGTGGGCACCTGGCATCCAGCCAGGGTGAGTCAAACGACCACAGGAATGCAGTGCAGCTTTTTCCATTTTTGTATAATGTAATTTAGCAGCTGCTAACAAAGGCGTAATTGGCCAGCTCTTCTCTGAGCTTCAGTGATTGCATAGACTTTGTTCAGAAGTATCAGCATTTTTCTTACTACTGGAAACATGCAGACCATAAGTATTAAATTAACTGAGAATATTTGTGAAAATACATTCCACTGAGATGTTAAGAGTATATTTGTAGAGCAGAAGGGAAAACTTTCTGCCAAGACATGAAAGATGTCTCTGAACATTTTAATTAATCTGTAAATATCGCTACTTAGAAATCCAAATAAATCACATTGTATGCCTGCCAAAGTAGATCATGCTTTTCACAAGAAAGTAGATGAAATATGTGAAACTGACTCACAAAGTTAATGTTTCCCACCAGTAATAACATTCACTTGTATGTACTTATGTCTGTTAACATGACTCACTAAGTTCTGCTTTCTTTTGTGAGATGGATGGCAGCAGAATGAATTGTACAGTGTCTCTGAGCTGTACCTCAGCCAAGATTCTGCTGCCAAAGAAGATCTAGCAGTGACAAATACATCTTAAGCAAAGTGTTAAAAGAGCTGGCTTTACAGTGTTTTTTTCAGATACTGTGATGTCAGGAAGAGATGCATACATAAGGGGATATTTTAACACCATCAGCACATAGGTTGTTTGGTTTAATACAGCTGCTGTATTTGGGGAGGCATTCTGAATTCATGAGATTGTGTATATATTCTCACTCTTGTACATATACAGTTGAAAGGAAGATATTTTGCAAAGGACCACTAAGTACCTGTCTTCTGTTCCTTTTGCACATATCCTAAAAATGTGGTTGTGTTTAGAAGAAAGAGAAAGGGGAGTATCTTTGAGACTGAAATGATAGTTTGGAAAGTCTTGGCTCTTTTCATAATTCTGTTGTAGATATACTCAGGAATTTTCAGCTAGGTGGTTAGAATGTACTGCTCTCCTGTGTTCTGTTGCTATTTTTGAAGATAGATGAGAGGCAAAATTGGTTTTTAGTGGTCTACAAAATGAAATGAAGTATGTGTGGAGTGGAAATGGAAAAGTCTGAGGGAATGCATGACTGTGATGGAATAGAGAAAGAGCAAAAATTGGAGAAAATTATTTTGGAAAGAAAAGGCAGTCTTGGGTGAAATAGTTACAGTTAAGAAGGACAAAATAAGAATTGAATATTGGACTCCTTTTCACTATAGCTCAAAATAGGCAACATTGAAGTCATCCCCTAAGCTGCAGGGGAAACAATTGCCTTGAGTCGTGTAGACAGGTTAAATACAGAAACTGCAGCTTATTATTGTACAGTGTGACGTACCAGAACTGCATTTCCTGTTCAACTTGGATAAAGGCAGTTGGTTTCACAAGAACGTTTGAAAAAACGGATGGAAATTATTATTGTCTTGTTTCTGTGCTAAATATTCTTCATCCTCTGCCTCTCTTGTGCAACCTAATAAAAGGGCATTCAGCTCATATCACTGTGAGCAAAACATTTCTTACATTTCTTCAAAAGTCTTCTTTACAGATTGTTGTAGTGATTGATAGCTGTAATAGGGCAAAATAATGATCTTGGTCACAATGCATGAACATTTGTACCCATTTATCTGAAATCAAAGTTTGGCCATAACTTTGAAATATTTTTTTTCTTTAGTACTATATGTGGGTCTTGCTTTTTCATAGATGTGTTGCTGTAGAAAGTATGACCAGTAAGGAACACTTCACTTCTTGCTCTAAAATTATTTCAGAGATTTCTTTAAAACATTCCATGTTGCATCCCAAGGACAGGAAGGACATTTCTACAGGTGTGACCTTCAATTGAAGTTCTTACATTCCTAAATTACTTTCTTCTATGTGTGCAGTTTAGAAGGCTAGCATTAATGAGGATTGTACTTTAAACTACTTGTGTAAGTTGAAGGAGAAATAAAAAGATTTTTATTTTCCAAGGTGGGGTATGGTAAATAGTCTACAGCTGAGGTGTTTGGTGATTGGTACCAAGAGAAACTGACCTGAAAAGGCAACTGAAATCTGAAGGACTTTCATGTTCTAATTTAAAACTGTAGGTCCATCTAGATGTTGCTGGTAAAGAAGGGAAGACAAGGAAAGCCTTCTGTGTGTCTAGCTGTATAGCTTAGTGGTGAGTAATTTCTTATACCTTAATGGAAACATGACTAAAAGATCATAGTGTTTTGGCAGTATTAATTCTGCTGTGTGGGGTTCTAAAAGGGTGAAAGGTTGACAGGAGCATTACCTCCATTCAGAACCCAATGGCTACGTCTGTGCTGTGAATAAAATGGGCAGGACACAGACACAGAGGATAGGATATTGTGATCAGCTTGTTCCCTGTGCCAAGAGGATGTGCACCAAGCAGGGATCTTCCTCCTGCAGACAGTGCAGTGATAGCCCAGAGCTGGTTCCCAGGACCATTGTCCATATACCACCTGGAATGAAAGTGCTATCAGAGGATGAGGCTTGGGACTTTTTTGCAAGGTACAGAGTCTGAGAGATTTGTGTTGAGCTGGGGCTATGATGTTATTGGGTTTCTGCATTGTCTGTTTTGCAGCAAATCCTGAGTGGTTTAAGCAAATAAGAGAAGTTAGAGCTGTTCTGAAGACCACCTCAACTCACAGAGCAGCCTGGGAGGACCAAGTAGCAAAGCAGGCTAGCTTTAACGTACCTTTAATCTCTCTTTTCAGACTTTTCCTCCAATTTCTGGGCTGTAAGTGTGAGCTCCTTTGCCAGCCTGTCTGTGTTCAAAGGTATCATGAGAAGTGCCTGGTGGTTGCTCTCTAATTTGGAATACTGTAGAGAGATTATTCTGTGTGAATAGAACTGTAGAATGGCTCAAGTCGGAGGAGACCTTTATAGACCATCTACTCCCAATGCCCCTGTCATGGGCAGGGACACTGCCTCTAGACCAGGTTACTCAAAGCCCCTTCCAACCTGGTCTGGAACACTTCCCAGGGGTGAGGCACCCACAACTTCCCTGGAAAACCTGTTCCACTGTTTCACTACTCTCATTGTAAGAGAGATATTTGTTCCTTATATTCAATCTAAATTTCCCCTCTTTCGGTGAAAAACTGTTGTCCCTTGTCTTATCACTACAAGGCCTTGTGAAAAGTCTCTCTCCATCTTTTGTTATAGGCCCCCCTTCAAATATTGAAAGGCTGTAATAAGGTTTTCCCTGAGCCTTTTTTTCTCCAGGCTGAACAACCCTGACTCTTTCCTGTGGAGTTGCTGCCCAGTGGCAGAAAAGTATCCCAGCTTCAGAAAACCAATCTCCTTACACTTCAGGGAAAATGCAATACCTTCTCAGGCATGATTACTTTTTCGGAGCTTTTTAGCTAGTGATTTAAGGGAGTAGAGATGCTGGACCTTGCAGGATGTGGATGAGTATCCCATTTGGGGGTGAGTGGTTGAGTGGAGGAGATAGTAAAAAGAGTTTATAGTCTCTGGTAAGCAAAAGCAAGTTTCTAGCTAAGGCAAATATTCCTATTCAATTCCTTCTTGAATTAGAGGATTATTCTGTTTAGATTCAGTGATTTTCCACTGGTTGCAATCTCCTGCAGCCAGGACAGAACCACAGGTAACAAGCTCTGTATTATTAAGCTTTAGTTCTCTTTGGCTAATTTAATGTTGACTTTCTCATTTGATGTCTTCTGAACCGTCTAGGAAAGCTTTACGTCACCGAAGGCAATGAAAGTACTTGTACTCTTTGTCTCAGCATTGCTGCCAGGCAGCTCTCCAAGTCCTTCACTACTGGTTTTTTGTGACTAACCAAGCTGACTGATATTAAGGCATGCTAATAGTGTTTCTGTGTATTGCTTCCAGAGTCTTGTGAGTGAAGGTTACTTTGAGCTGATCAGTATTGCATGGTTTCAGCTAAGTCACAGAAGCTTTTGGCTATCCTGAGAGACGGCTAACTCCTCCTAACCCTTTTTGGAGGCTGCAGGGCAGTATTTGGTCAGTTATGAACTCTTGTGATGTGTCTCCTCCTTTTTATTCTTTATAATTACACAAAGTCATGTGCAAAGGAGGAATAAACTGTCAGTATTTCTAGCCCTCTACTGCAATATCACAAGCACAGAAAATATACGTCTTGAAAGCACGCAAGAAGGAGAACATGGCACAGTGCTGTTACAGAAAGAAATGTGATGAACAGAGCTTTTTAGTAAATACCACCTACACTGGCCTTTATACAAAACTGGAGTCAGCAGAACAGAATGAATAAGATCTAATCTCCCACCTTGTCCTGCCATTCCAGTCCCACGTGCCTACACAAATATTCTGGCCCTGCTGAAAACCACCCCTAACTCAGGCTTCTGTAGCCAGCCTGTTATCTGAAAGCAAGGACTCCCCTACTGGTGTTTCAGAAAAAGAGTAGTTGTTGTATGAGAGCTGGTGTGCATTTCCAGACAGTGGAGGGTTGAAAAGTGATCCCAAGTGTTCCCTTTTGCGGTCTGAAGCCATATTGTCCCAGATTGTCACTGTGCCCTTTGCTAATTAATTTGCTCTGGGCAGGTCAACTGATGGTTCTGCTGTGCTAAATTAATAAATCTTGGCTCATTTCCACCTTTTCTTACTAGCTAGAGTGACTAGGATGACATTGTCTCCATTACAGGCCAATTTAAGTAAATCAAGCAGTTTCTTTGTAGCAAAACCAGCATTTCCAGAAAAATTGTTTTACTGTTTCTTAATTACCATTTCAGAGAGAATGAGCAGAGGTGGAGATGGTTCTGTGTATGAGAGATCTGATTACAGTGATGTTCTCAAGCGCCAAATTTATCTTTTAGCCTTGGGGCCCTGAAGTTCAGCTGCTTCGTGATTTCACATTATGGCAGCTGTAATTGTTTTAGTGATAGCTGAGGTTGTTGAATCGTGTACATGCTTTAGTGATACAAAAAGCAAAATCTTAAGAATTGGTAATACTGAAATTTTACAAATGTCTGAACATGCCCAGCTTCAGCTGAAGCCAGTAAAGAATCTGAATGCTCTATGTTCTGTAGGGTGATGAAATTGACTTTTTGAGTATTGTTCCAATGGTAAGCACTTTGCTCTTCATAAATTCAGTGGGGAAAACACACTCTAGTGCAACAAAGGATGTCGATGGAGAAGGGTTATGGAATATTGTGCAATTGCAGTCACTTGTCTGCAGTTAAGAGGAATTCAGAAATGTGAAGAACGCGGCCTGCATGCCTGTTTTTCCTGTTTGTTCTCTCGTGAAGCAAAGACGCTGGCCTCTGCTGGAGCCCTGTCGGCATTGCATGTGACAGGACTGGTGAGGAGCCGAGTTCCCCTGGAAATAACTCTTTTGTAACTGTCTGTCACTTTCTAGGTAACGCTCGGCTGCACTTTCTGGTCCTGGTGACAGGCTGTACATCGGTGGGCAAAATCCTGGATGCTGAAGTTTACAAAATTACTGCAACAGATTTCTGTCCTCTCCAGGAAGAAACCAAGGAAGACGAGCGCGTTACTGCCTTGAAGAAAATACTGAACTCTGGGATGTTCTATTTCTCCTGGCCTAATGCAGGCTCAAACTTTGACCTGACTGTGCGGGCTCAGAAGCAGGGTGATAACAGCTATGAATCTGGTAACTCGTTCTTCTGGTTAGTACTGCGTGTTCTACCTGAGTCTTCTGTTGTCCCCACCTGTATCTCATTGTCCAGACTTTCTCAGAGGGAAGTGAACATGTGCACTTCAGGTCCATCTCCTTTCATTCATTGACATGTCCTTTTACAGGGCAGGTGGCTTTAATGAATTCATGGTAACTTGTGTTTAATTAAAATTAATCTGATAGTGAAGTGCCATTATAAAATGACATACTATGCTTCAAAGGGGGAAATACCAGATATATATTGCTCATACTACAGAAACATCTCTCTATATGTCATGAATAGTTTCCTCTGCAGTCCTTTTAAATACTTTTCTTTAAAGTTATCTAATGGAAACCTGTGCTTGAACTGTTCATAAATCCCATTGTTTGCACTGAAGTATGTGTTATTTTTTAGAAGTAGGTGTTTGAAGTCTGTAGTTTATTGTTTCAGTAATGTGCACTAGTTTTTATATTGAAAACATCAATATTAATATGTTTACAGCTCAGTGCAAACACAAATCACACAAAACAAAACTGCTGCGATACACAACTCTGTGCTTTTTACTTTCTTGTGCTTATAAAGCAAAGAAAAGTTATCTCATATTGTGGTAAGTATTGGTTGAGGGGAAAAGAGAAAACACAATGCTGGGTTGATGTAGTTCAGTTTGTTTGCTTTGCGAATTTTGGCATAATGCTTGGATTTCTATGCCCTTCCCCACCCCCACCCCCTTCTTTTTAAACAAAAAGTCACACAGCAGGCATAGCTGTTCTGGAAATAAAATGAGGGTTTGATGTAGGTGGGAAATAACTGGCGGGGTTAAATGTGAATGTGCTGCTAGAATGTGCAATGAGGCTTTTGGCCCAAAGCAGGTGAATATTAAATAAGCAAAAAAGTTCATAATGGGTGATAAATTAACATGAGAGAGCAGTTCAGTTAGGCTAAATAATCTTTCCTGCTATGATGTGATTTTGACTGGTAAGATTTAGTGGGTTGACTTTAAAACTGAAGAAAGATACATAATAAATACTTGCTTTCAACTGTGCTAATGATGCATCCCTCTCCAAAAGGTCACCAAGCACTGTCACGTCAGACACATAGCAGAAATTAGTTGTACTCCAATGATGAGACTGCTAAGATGACAAAATCCCATAATAAAGAACATTTAAAACATCTCCTTTTCCCTCTACTGTCTTTTGAAACTTTTTTCCTTGGAAGAGAAGTATATTTGCTGCTTCTGGCTAATCCAGAAGTAAATTCTGAAGTTTCCATTCTGCAGTATGTTGTAGAACAGGGAAAAGTGGTGACAACATCACATTAAAGGCAAAAGGATGCTCCAAAAAAATTATCTTGAGGTATTTAGGTGATATGGGAAATTTCAGACAAAAAATAGATGCTTGAGGAAAGTAAACAATGAGATAAATAGTTATACAATGAAAAGTGTAAGATGACCTTAGTTATGGGCAACGCAAACTGCCTGTTTAATGAACTGCAACAACAACAAAAAATTCTACTGGAATTTGCCTGAGTGAGGACTTCCTATGCAAGTAGAAGTGGGAGAAAGAGGTGGAAGAGATAGCAAAAGTTGAGCTAAAAAGAGCTAAATTGAGCTAAAAAAAGGAGCTGCTTTTTTTGTTACATATTAGATTAAAAATGTAATAATGCCTTGCACCTTTTTTGGTAAATGCTGTACTCTAAAAGAACAATTCTTCAGGGGTTTCACTCTCTTTTACAGATCCTCTATTGAGCAATGCATGGCCATAAAAGATATTTTTCTGGCCCTCCTATGTAACTAAAGGCACATTTTGAGACATGAAGTAAAGAAAAACTTCATAATAAAAGAGACTAGATTTGTTAATTAGATGTGACAGGTTTCTTGAATTGTTGACCTTGAAGGTTAGAACAGATGTTCCTCTTCATTTTAGTAGTACTTTTTGCAATATCTCCAGTGACTTACAGATCCAGTTTCTGCTTGGAATTTTTTTTTTTCTAAAAATCCTGGTGGATTTTGAACCAATTCTTCATCCTGTAGTGAATGCTAAGGTCCAGGCAGTACTCTTCCAAAAAAAGTGATTAGCTTGACATTACTGTAATTTATTAAAAGATTACTAAATATAAATTTCTGGAGCTGAAAGAGGTGGCATTTGCATCTGAATTTATAAGACAGGTACAAGATATAAAGGCAGCACCTTGGTGGTAGCTGTGTGGTTAAAATTTGCCATGTTCAGTTCACCGTAGTAGTTCACAAGGGTTTCTTCTCGATATTTCCTGGGCAGAGATAAGTTACAGCAGAAAAGGGGTCATAAAACATTACTTGATTAAATTAGTGATTGTTGTCAGGCGGCACCCATGTCTGTCTGTTTGTTTTACTCAGTAATGTCTCTGTGTGTTGTTGAACCTTTCAGGAACCAGCTATTGCACGTGCCCTTCAAGCACTACCAGGTGAACTGCTCCGACTGGCTGCTGAAGGTGGTCTGTGGCGTCGTGGACATCCGCACTGTTTATGCTTCCCACAAGAAGGCCAAAGCCTGCCTCATCTCCCGCATCAGCTGCGAGCGGGCCGGTGTCCGCTTCCACGTCCGAGGGGTCAATGATGATGGACACGTGTCCAACTTTGTTGAGACAGAGCAGGTAAGTGCTTGTGTCCAATGGCTTCGCATCACTTAGTCCACTCGTGTTTAATTGGGGCAGGGTTTTCAAGGAGAATTAAAGAAACTCAGCAAGTTTTTTTTTAAATATTGTTGCATGGCAGATCTGTTTGTTCTTGTCCATTAAGCGTTTCTTTGCAATCTGCTCTTTTTCTCTGTTTCTGACTTTTCCATTCACACGGTTTTCACTAACACTTTTCACTTCTTTCCTGAGTGTGAAAGTCTGGCCATTTGATACTGTAGTGAAATGTAGACAAGGGTTTTTAAACCATTCAGGAAGGTGTCTAGCCAAGGTGCTGGGACCTCATCTTAGATTAGTAAAGTTCACTGTCAAATAATCTTTCTCTAGTAAAGAAAATGTTGAAAAAATAACATCTTCTCAGAGTCAGCCAAATTCCAGTTCAACTAATTTTGGAAGAGACTGCTTTTATATTCCCCACTGGTTTGTGGGGGATTCTCTCCAATGTGAGGTAGTATGACAGTTTTTATACATATGTGGTAAAAGCCTCATTTCCAGCTGATGCTGAGACAAATTATGTGTGTGAAATGCATTCAGCAGGCTCCCTTGATTGGCACAGCCAAACAAAACAATTGAATCACTTGGTTTTATTGCACATGGTTTAGCTTGCTGCCTTGAAATTCAGTAAAAAGCACTGGTCCATGAAGAATCTGAAGTCTTGTGTGCCAGCTGAAGTGAGTGCTTTCTTACTCAAGTACAATCACCTTTTCCTTTTTGAACTGAAGTAGTAATTACTAGCAGTCAGAACCATCATACAGAAATGGATCACTGTATAAACAGAATAGACAAATGGCTGATAGTTTTCAACAAAGAACAGGGATTTGCTCCTAGAATTTGGTTGTTTTCAGCATCTTCTGGGCATATCTCCAGAGCTGGATGTGTGGTGTAGATTGTATGTGTCTGTATATGTAGGTGCATGTACAATGAAGGTAGATTGCTTCTGTGATGCTCATAAGGGGAGCATGAAGCAGTGAGAGAGCAGCATGGAGGCACTTGAGCTGTGTCATTGCAAACCTGTGCCTGATGGCTGAGGAGGGCACCCCTTCTCAAAGGAACCCACACTTTGGTGGGCTGACTGCACTAGTATTTCCTCATGGCAATGTGTGAATGTAGCAGCTCTGACCCAGTGAGCTCCTTCCTGTTATCCCACTGCATAAGCCAGGCATGCCTTCAGGCAACTGTTTGTCCAAAATCTGGCCGTGTTTGGGTACTTTCCGCATTTCCTTTGAGATGTTGTCTTTGTAACACTGCTTTAACCTTTTCACCTGGTTCTGCCTAAGGACACATGTAGAGCTACCTTAGATTTGGCAGTGCTTTGATCCTCAGGAGGATGCCTGGAGGAGTTGCAGACTGGTATTCCCCAGCCTGCTGGTGAGGTTTGATTCCCAAAAGGTGCTCAAAGCATGCCCAATGGTACACATGTGACTTTCTGTCCAGTGGTCAGAGTTCTCTCTGGGCATGTGGGTGACTTTTTGTTCATGTCCCTCCTTTTCCTGGTTTGCCTGCATTTTCAGTTAGGCTGACAGTTTTCCACTTAGTGTTCAGGCTCCCACAAATTCTGCCTGTTGAATGTGAAGCTCTTCTCCTCTAGTGCTTGGGTCTCTAATATCAGCCTCCAAATTCTCTGCTAATAATTCTCTTGTGTGCCACTGCTCCAAAGCAACTGCAAGTGAACTCTTGCAACATCTACACCTTTCTAGAAAGTCTGTCAGTGCATTGGGAGATACAGCTATGTCTGCTTACTGGAAAGTGGAATTTTCCTTTGGAACCTGGGGACAGAAGAAGGGAGATCTGCCATTTTAGGTGATACGTGGTACATTCTGCTATTTTAGTTGAGTATTTTCTTATGAATGTTAGTGCCAAGCACTAATCCTGTTACTCAGGATTTGAAGAATGTTCTCTTGATGAAATGCAAGGGAAAGAAAGTCACTTGGCAGTTGACTTATTATGTGAAATACTTTTGCTGTCCTGCTCACTAGGTGGGTCAGAAGTAACTCATTTTATTTTGTTACACTCCTGGAATACATCATGTTACAAATTATTAGCATGAAAAATAAGCTGGCCTTTGTATTCCAGCAGAACACCTGAGGATTGGCTCCTGGTGAGTGGCAAAACAGTACTTGATTGCTGATGCTTCTCTTAACTGGGTCTGGGTCAGGCTCTTCATGGGAATTGCTGTGTTTTGTTCCCATTCAGCCATATGCTGAAGTGGGAAAATGGAAGGCTTTTAAGTGGTTTTTTTTTCAGCTGGGTAAGCCAAAGTGCAAGAGTGAAATAGCTTTAGGGTGAAAGGCTTGAGCAGGTTCAAAATTATAACGAGAGTTTGCAGTTTTAAAGGTTTGTGTGGTTTTGTTTGTTTTCAAAAGCCAAAGCAAAGAAGGAAAAGGTTGCTGTTACTAATGGTGCTAAACACTAGTTTTACCAAGCTGCATGTCCTAAGAAAGCAAAGTTGGGCTAACCACTAGGATGCCTGAGATCTAGTTCAAGCTGGCATCCTCTTGCCATTAGGATGGAAGAGTCCAAGAATAAACTCCTACTTTCATAGTAAATGACTGACTAATCTCCTGTGAGGTAATATCTTGGCTGAATAACATTTTGTTTCCATTTGCTGGAGCCTGTACAGTATTATGGTATGTTGGCTATGTGCTTGCATGGATAAATAACACCCTAGGATTCTGAAAACCCAGGACTTTTCCCCTCTTTGCAGGAATTGCTTCTAACATTTTTCTGTTTTTAGAAGAGGGAGAAACAATTAATCTTATCTCCAGGCAGCTCTTTTATGCATAGATGGTATGCTTTTGTCTCCCACTGAGTTAGCCTTGTGGCATTTCAGCTCTGCAATGAGTCATTTTTTGTGGGCTCACTTAACTGCTCTGAGTCAGTGTTTGAGAAGAAGGGGGGGAAAGTAAAATATCTTCACTTTTTCTTTAAACAAAATAAGAACAACTTATACTATATCTTCAAGCTTTTTGATCATTTGTCTTGTGCCTTTATGAAGAAAGAAGAAATAAAATATTATAGGAAACACTTAAGGAAAAAGAAAATGAAGGGAAGAGAAGGCAATCCCTTCAATGTGTACTTTCAGATTTGCTGACAAATATTTTGTAATGGGATGGTATCCCTTTCTACTTGCAGTTCTTGCCGTATTGCAGTTAATTCTCAAGCTGCTTTTAAATCAGTCTGTTTCTCAGTTGAAGCTTAAATGTTTCCTTTCACCTTTTTTTCCTCTCCTAGTAATCCTTTGAAGTTGAGACTGTGTTGCATTTTTGTAATTCTTTTCTTCTGGTACCTCTGAGGAACTAGAAATGCTCTCTTCAATTAGTCTGTGTGCCTGTTACTGTTTACATTTCTGCTCTTCTCCCAGTTACCCTCCATAGAGTTATGCTAAAGTCTTAGTATGTGGTTTACAAGGAACAATTCTAGTTAACCAAAGACAAATAAATTGTTTCAGTTTTTTCCCCTTCATGGAATTGTTCAGTAAAGAAAATCGAAACCTTGAGAAAGCACTAAAAGGAAATACCATGAATTTGAATTAACCTTCCCTTTCTTCCAGTTTCAGAAAAAATTGTCAGACATGGATTAAGGAAAACAATCCCTATTTAACAATACCTCCTAGACTGTATTGGATAGCTCTCCAGGAGAGGAATGGATGCAATCATGTGGTTGATTTATTTTCTGGATCAAGTTTTAATATGACCGCAGACAAGGCAAAAAGGATTATTTTGGCAGATATATCCTTGGGTCCCATGGTCTGAGCTAAAGGCACTCACAGAGAGGTGTGTTTAGGCCATCTGCTGTCCAGACTCTGTGTGGCAGAGCTGGGGATCCCCCAATAAGCCATCAGAGTATCCATCTCATCAAGCACTGTGTCTCTGTGTACCCCTTGAGTCTGTAGTGAATTTTGCTGTTTGAAGTTGTGACCAAATCATTATTATTTCTAATGAAGGTGGGTGATGGAGATTAATGAATAAACTATTCCAAGCAATAGATGGGCACAGCATGCTGGGATCAGAACACCGGTGACTTGACACAGATGTGTGCTTCTTGTCCAGAAGCTTTTTAGTAGTACCTGTGTTGTCATCTTATTGCAGGGGCTCCATACTGTTGTCTCCTTATCCAAAAGTTTCGTAATTTCTTGGTGTTTTCTCATGGGCATCTCCTCAGAGCACTGACTCTTCTTCACAGAGCAGCTGAGTGACTCCAGTTCCTTCTCAACCAACCACCCCACTCTTTTATAGCACTTTTCTTCTCACTGATTACAGCTGTGGCCTCTTAAAGTCAGGCCTGTTCCTAATCTTTGATAATCAGCTGCAACTCCTTAGGGGTAGGATTATTTTCTGCACTTATATTTTCTTATATTCTACAACCTGTGCATGAAGTTTGCTTACCAGGAAAGATCCTTGGATTTCAGGGGCAAGGTCTGGCCCTATGAAACAGAAGAGAAAGATTGAAAAATGTCCTATTGAACTGTCAGTACTATCACCCTTAATCCTGAGCTGGAGAAAGAGGCCACAAAGAGAGTCTAAGACCGCAGAAGCTGAAAGAAAAACAAGGCAAATTCTAACACCAGAGGTCAGAGGCCAAGTAATCTATTGTTAAGGCAAATAGGTCTTCCACATGGGTTAACTATCCAATTGCTACAGCGCTGTCTGATGGGAACCTGGTCTGGATGTTCATGCAGCTGACAGGGTTGGATTGTAGTATGGGCCAGAACCCTTGAGATTAAGGAAGTAGACCTCAAGTGTTTTGAGGATTGGATAGGAATGAACATTCTCCCTGGGGTACATAGGCACCAACTTGCTGTCATTTTGGATCTAAGACAAGAGATAAGACTCCACAAAGACAGAGATTTAGCAGGATGTATGAATCCTAATGAGCAAGTGTTGTCCAAAAAGTAACTGATTGTTGTTGAATTTCTAGAGAAAAACCAGTATGATCTTCTTGTCCATGAGAAAAGGAAAACAGAAGACAGGAAAATTCTGGACATAAGGCATTTAACTTTTCTTTAAGTTTCTTGTCTAAAAGAACTGTTCATCTTTTGTCTAGTACCTTAGAAGAAGGGAAATGGCTCTGCTAGAGGACAGGGTAATAAAGTCAATACTAGAACAACAAAAAATTGGGATGGATATGTGCTTGTAGGAAACATAACATTGTGCACAAAAACTGATCAAGGCTGTGAAGAATATGAGAAAAGAAACTGTACTTGTCCATGCATAAGCAACAAAGTTGGGATCTTTTCTTTATGAGTGTCATTTCAATCTAAATATATTATTAGTTCTTATTTAATATTTTAGCAAATAGGGTTTCTTACAGTGTATGTGGCTGCTAAGATTAATCCATTCCTGATCTGGAAAGCTGTCTTAGTCTTTAAACCTGCTTTCTTAACAAGTCTGTTGGTAGGAAGTCTGTTGCCACTAATATTGTAAGATCAAGAGATATGTACACTAAAAGGCAGTGTCAAGATCAAGGGTCATGTTCCTTGGAATGGTGAATGAAGGATAGTGGGTATTACTGAAATTGAGGGAAGATTTGCACAGTTATAATGCTTAATGAAATGGTTAGAGTCTGTTGAGGAAGGAATGACTGGCAGAAAAGTCATTTTAATGAGTCTCCCACTCATTAAAAAAATATTAAGTCTTTTTCCAACTCGCTGGCAGCTTGGAAGAAAATAATTTTGGATTCATCTGGGTCATGAGAATGAGGTGAAAGGATTGTGAAAGACCAGAGAATTGCTCCGGAGAACCAATGATGAGCCCTGTAAGCAAACAGGAGAAAAAAAGCACTTTCTGTGAATTACGGTGTTGGAGAGGCTGTGCTCCCTGTTCAAAAACCTCATCTGATTTCTAAAAGCTGCACGGCAACATACGTAAAAAATGTCAGTTTCTTTAAAATGCTCTGCCATCGTAAAAGAATCCTGTATTAGAACTCACCTTCACAGAGGATCCCCCAGCCCATCACACATCAAGGTTTAGGCATCCTTTTAGGTTACAGGAATGATCAAGTAGTTTGAATATTTTGGTTGTTGTTCAGTTCTCTAAAGGGACAAGCTTAATAGAGCAGAAAACAGAAGAGGTAATGGGTCAAAACCAGTGAACAGAAAATATGAGTGGTACTGGTAACAAACATCTGTTAACCACTAATAAATGGAATTGGAGCATCTGTTAATACAGAAATAAATGTTTGGTCAGTATTTTTCTTCTGTATTTGGCAGGAAGAAGATAGGTTATATATTCATGGTCTGTAACATGGTCTATATAGGTTATATATTCATGGTCTGTAACTCAGAAGGATGTTAAACTGCAGGTACTGTATTAGAATCACTATCTTTTTATCAGTGAGTCTAGAGATTTGCAGCTGGATGTCTAAAAGAGCTGGTCAAAGAAATACTTGAACTGTCAGTTTTGCAGTCAGATGTGCAAACAGGGACTTCCCAGAATACTGTAAAGGACATTGATCACCTGTAGCAAGCTGTTTGAGTGGTCACCTTGTACTTCAGGTAAAGCTTTGTCTGTATTTGTCATCATTTGATGTTTCATTTCTACTCAGTAGTTGTTAAGAAGATGATTGTTGCCAAGATTTTAAGTAGGCCAGTCCTGATTTTTTTTTTTGCACAGATTCAGGTTCATTTAGTATTAGTCAGGATAATGCTGGGACTATAGTAGTGCTATTAATCTGCTTTAGCTTGGAGTGAACTTCTTTGGGTCCATGGCTGTGAGTGAAAAGATGATTCATTGTGTAGAAGTCTCTGACTCATCTTGGCACGACCTATCTCAGGGAGAGTGTGATAAAAAGGAAGAAGGTGGGGCTGCTTATTCCTCTCCTAGTCCAGCTGCAGAAGGAATGATCTCTTCTGAGCACAAATGTACAAAGAAAAGGCACACCAGTGTGTTGCCATGGAAATTTGCTCCTGCACTCAGGTGCCAATAATGTTCAGAAAACTTTACTGGGAGAGCATATTTTAGATCCACATTGCTCAAACTGTGGCACAGGCCTTGCAAGAAAGCTTCTCTGAGCAACCCCTCTCTTGCAGGGGGTTGTGCTAGGATGGAATGTAACAGAGGAAAGGGTTCTTAGTGCTTTGGTGAGAGATTAAAATGATGGAAACATAGTTTTGCACTATGGCTGGGCTGGCTATCCTTCTAGCACTAACACTGTGTCCATGATGAAGCCACTTAAATCATCTTAGTGAAATGGAGACAGTTTCAAGTGCTCTGCAAAAATACGGTAAATATTAGATAAATGTTTTGTCACCAATTTTATCTAAATATCTCTTTTTCACACATGTAGCTCTAAAAACTGTACATTGATAATGCTTATGAAGATGAGAGGTCAAAGTCAGGTACTTTCCCTGAGCCAGCCATTGGCCACATCTAGTGGCAAATCCAAAAAGACAAAAACACTTTAAAGCTGTAGAGAAATCCATTTTCATGTTCTGTTCTATTTTCAGAGCTCCTAGCCAGCTGGCAGCAGCTGTGCCAAATGATATGATGTGGTGAGTGTAGCTACCTGGATAACCTGGATACCATTCCTCCCCAGGGCTGCAGAGCAGGCATTGTCATGCATGAGATAACAGAGATGTGTATCATGTGTATCATGTATCCTCCGTGGAGAGCAGCCAGGATTCCACTGCTAAGTATAGGCCAGAGGAGGGAGCTGGGCTTTGCACAGTTGCTCTGTGGTCACATTCAATCTGAAGATAGTACCTTTTATGCTAAGTTAACATAATGTAACACTTGCACTGGGGACTGTGGATGGGGTAGGCAAAAGGGGAAATCAGTCTTTGTTCTTCTTATGGATTTGACCCAAATCAGTTTGTTAACAGTAGTCCTGAGACAACATAGAGGGAGATTTTGAGGTCTGGTTGGGAAAAGAAGAATTCGGAACCTCTTGTTGTAAGCCCCCTTGAAAAGAAGTAGATCACATTGCTGCTCGCTGTACCTCAGGATGGGAGTGGCAAAGCTGCTGGTTTCACAGAGTTTTATTTGGATTCTCTGACAAGGCACAGCATGCAGTGAAATAAGAAATGGTAAATACAGCAGGAGATAAGCTTATCCCCCACCTGACGTTACCCATCATCAGTCACAAGGAGCAATGACATTTTGCACAGTTGAGTTTTGTGAGAGGGACAGAAGGAGAGCATATGCCTGGCCATTCCAAGAGTCTCCACCAGCAGCTCAAATCCGTCTTGATTGTGGGTGAAAGATGTTGTGGTGTTTGAAGTTTTCTCCTGTTTCTGCTGAGAAGTGAGTTGAATCTGCTGTGATGACATGAAAGCAAATACGTTGTGCTTTGTTCCACTGCCTGTTAGACTATGGAAAAGAGGCTGAGCGGTAAGTGGATACAGGGAGATACATGGTTTACTTTTTTTACCCTTTGAGTTCAGTGTCTTTAACTGTCACCTGATGAAGGGGCCACAGGCTGACAGATCTAACTGCAGAACTACTTTCCTTTTTTTTATTTTTGCAGACAATTTACTTGGATGATGATGTCTCTTCCTTTGTGCAGATCAGAGGCTCTGTTCCACTGTTTTGGGAGCAAACGAGACTTCAGGTAAAGAAATAATCAGAAAGCCTACCTTGCTTCTCTCTCTTGCTACTTACAATTTAGAATTAACATAAATATATATATTATTTTTTAATATGAGCTTCAAAGCTCATTCTGTGGAAGTGATGAGCTCTTTCATTTTAGATTTGCCTTGTAGAAATTTTGTGTGTTTAGATAAACGAAACTATACTAGACAAATGGCTGTAGGCGACTGAAGTTTAACCTTTTTGGGTGTTTGAATGCCTCTACAGGGAACTGTTTGTAAGGGACTGTGTCCTAATGTTATAAACTGAAGCTTACAGCTATATCTTTGTAACATTTTCAGTTTTATTCCTCTGAAATGCCTGGTTTTCTTGATGATATTGACCTCCATAATACAACTGGAATATTTAGGGATACCAGTGCTCTGTAGGAGCATGCTACTGTGAAACAAAGTAAAATGTCTGGATGGTGTGTTTTTGGGATTTCAGTCAAAAGGGTGAAAATTATCTAATTTGATTTTTTGTGAGTCAGAGATGTAGGATTTCATCACAAGATTATTGCATCAAATATATGGTCTGTGACTTGCAGCTTATATACTGTTATAGGGCCAAATAAGAATCTTCCTAGCACACTTTGCATTCTTTTAACAGAGGGATAAGCAGCTGAAATCAGTATGCACATATATTTTGTGAGTGTTAGTAGAGAAAGTACATTACATAACTGGGTTTTTTTAAGATACTTTAAAGGTTACATGATACTTTTTTTGATCATTAAATTAGAACCTATGTACTATTCAGAGGCACTGGATTTAGCACAAAAGGAAGTGACTAAAAGACCCCTGTTGTCTTTCAACACCATCCAGTGCAATACTTGCTTCTTTTTGTAAAGCAAGTTTGTCCATATGGTCCATATGATTGTGCAAGTCCTGCCCATGGTGTAGCTGTATCCATCATGTAGCACTGTTGATCTGTATGTTACAGAGCCCTCAAGCATTTTTGGCTATTGGGCAATAGCTCTAGTTAAACAGAATTTTTGGGGTTTGTTTAGTAGGCCTGGTTTTTTTGACTAATTGGATTAGATTATATACTCTTACTCCTTGTGTGTGAATGTACTGGCACTGGTGTTAGAAAGAATTGCAGAAACCAACCTCATGAAAAACAAATAAAGATGGTGAAGTATAGGAAACAATGCATGATCCTATACATATTTAGGAGTTTTTGGAGAGGAAATAAGCTCTCTGTAATAATTTCCCAACAGTAGCTACCATTCAAAAGGAACTTGAGGCTACTGTTGTTGACATCCACGTTAAAAGACCTGTTAGTTTGAGGGTATAGAATTTCATCCTTCATATTTTGAGTCACTGTTCTGATACTTGTCAAAGAAGTCAGAATACACAACCCATGGAACTGGCATAAATGTATCCCTTTCTACAAGGCAAGGGCAGTAAGAATGCTAGGCTCATGGAATACTCATGTGAGGCAGTGTGTGCTATTTGCAAGAGGGAGCTGGCAAAGAGATGTGATTTGTTTGGCCATAAAAAGATGTGTAGGTATCCCTTTGCTTAATGGTAATTGTGTTTTCACTTGTAATTGTAAATGTTGTCTAATAAAAGATGGGGCTTTTGTGTTAAGGATATTATGTGTGGGGGTGGTTGGAGTCTGTTAGAGATGTCTGGTGCTGTTAAAAAAATGTTTTTCTCTGAAGGAAAAAGGGAGACATCTAGTGACTTAGGACTCTAGCAGTTTAAGAAGGTTTTTCTATTTCTTGGTCTTCTAATATTTTATTTTAGGTTGGTTCCCGCCATTTAAGGCTCAACAGAGGTCTGGAAGCCAATGCACCTGCCTTTGACAGGTAAGTTTCATTCCACTTTGGCATCAACACAGCAGCTTGGCATGTATCCAAGGTTCCATAACTTTGTCTTCCTAAGAAATCTTGAGAAACCTCTCTCAGATGATGTGGCAAATCTTCCAGGTGTGGCAGATTATTAAACTGGTTTACTTAATTTAGTGACTTCTTTTGGTGCTTTTGTTCCTTCTTGTTTTCAGTGATAATTGAATTAATTTGGTCTTCTGGCTCATTTCTGTAAAAGTTTAGGAATACTGAGTGATATGCAAAAGAAGTGTTTATGCAAACCTTTGTGAGCCAACAGATGTGAGTTTACACTTATGGTACACAGAGTATGTGTGCTTTACCACTCTAACAAAAGTAGCTAAAGGGTAAACAGTGCTTTCACTCCATTCTGCATTTGGTCTTTTCTTCATTGTTTTCCTCCTACACAGAAATAGCAATGCCTTATTCTGTGACCAGTGTTGTATGATGCTATTATGCTGATGCTTTCTATTTTATGCAAAGACTGGCTTGCAAACATTTTAAAACCATTAAGACTCTGTTTGTTTGTCAGCTAGAAACTGTAGAAAAAGACATGCATTAGCTTGATTCCTTTGGATGTCTGACTAGGAAATGCTATCCTCTAAGGGTATATTTCTACTGATATCCATGGGAACAGTGCCTGAAAAGCACATGAAGAATTTGTCTGTGGGAAATTTTCATCTGGTAAATGCAGGTGAAGTGATTAATTTCTGTTTTGGTTTGGTTTTGGTAGATCAGTTTGTTTGTTGATTTTATGTAAGGCTTCTTTATTACCTCAACTGTTAGCACACAGGATATTATTGACTGTTAATGGTTTTTCTACAGTGAAGACCCCAAACAGGGATTAGAATCTAAAGGGACTATACACCATAGCAGTTTCTGCTCCAGAGGTTCTTGGCCTGCATTCTCCAAGCTTTTAAGGATCTTAAATCCTACTGAATTCAATGGCCTTTGAGACCTTTGGTCTCATGGCCATCTGGTGATGTGAGAACTTGCCCTGCCAGTGTCCCTGAAGCTCCATCCATAAAGGTTTGCTTTCCACAACAGAGATATTTCGTGCAAGAAAACAGTAACTTATTTAGCATCCTCATGTACTACCCATGGAATTAAGAGTACCTCAGGAAGGAACAACCTTTTAGTCCTGACCCTAGTACAACTGGTGAATAGCTTTCTCCTAAAACTTGCACTATACCTTCTTTCCCTTGTGCCAGTAAGTTATATGGACTTAGGGATCTCTCTTCTAACAGATCTGCAAAAGACAGTTCTTTGAAAATGGGCAAGAAAGAAGTGACTGCTTATATGGAAAAGTACACTGGAATTTAACAACCTGCTACAGCTTTTCCAAGATATTAATTTGGCCTGTTACATTTAACCATGTGAGAAATGGATGGTAATCTTGTTAGATATTTTTTCATCCTCTGTCTCTCTCCAGAGAGACAGATTTCTGTGGAGAAATCCACGGGGAGCTTTGCTTTCAGTATTCAAACAGGTGACTTGAGCTTCAGTAGTTCTGTTGTAAGGAAGCAACACTGCCAGAGAGGTAGGATCTTGATGCTGGTATCAGAAGGGCGCCAACTATATGGGATGAGTTGGCATACAGAGAACTGGTTGCAGAATCAAGAGTGCACCAGAAAATATATTTAGCTGTGTTTTCTGAAGGCAATGCTGATGACTTCTTTAGTTTCTCCCCTTCCATGGTTTTCTGTGTAACTTATTTCTGGTTAAAGGATTTAAAGAGTAATGCCAGAAGATGTATGCTTCCTGGTTTTCGCACACTTTGCCATTACACGCTATTTTGCAGCATGTAATAACTTCTCATTTTTGTGAGTTTATTTTTCTTGTCTGTTTCCATCCAGCTTCCTCTTAAGTACTACTACAGTGTTGTCTGTACATGATGGAAATCAACTTTAAGATCTGATTATGTCTTGATGAACCAGCACAGCTTCTGCAGACCATGCATTCCAACTTGAAAAAGATATTTGAGGGGAGAATGGGTGTTTCAGCATCTGGCTTAAAGCTCTTAACTTGAGTCCCTAAATGTCAGGCTTTGAGATTTTAGTGACATAGACCAAAAAATGCAGCCCACTTTATGCTTGTCCTATTTTGAGCTTTTCCTGCAGATTCTGAGCCAGACAACTTGGCTAAAAGGACCTTTGTTCTGAGCCAGTGCAGCAGTTCTTATGATTAGTCATCTTCCTGCTTGATTTGAGTTCAGAGTGAATGTCTCCATGTTGCAGTAGCTCAGAGATGTTTGAACCCTGTCACCTGTGACATGTGTTTGGACCTCTCTGGCCTTGGCACTGGAGTTGTAGGCCCCATTGCTGCTGCTGACTCTTAGTCTCAGCTCTGCAAGATGCCAGACAATTCCTTTTGAAGTGTAATACATTTTCCTCTCTTCTTGTCTTTCCCGTGTAGTTCCCAGGATAACAGCCAAGAGGTAGAACCATGAAGAGCAATGTCAAAGCTAACAGTGACATAAAAGATTTGGGGCCTATTTCCTAAGACACTTCTTTCCTAAATTTCAGTACAGAATACCGTATCTATTAATTGCGCACTTTCACCATTTTTACTTTAATAATTGATTGCAAGGAAACTGAGAAAGATGTCTGTAGATGATATGGCAAAGACTTTCTGCTAGATGAAACAACCAGTGATCTCTGCTTTGTATTTTGAAAATGGCAGTAGGCAAAATAACTTAGTTTTGTTTAGTACCTATTATGGTTGCTTTTGCTGTAGGCATATGATGCTTCTGAAAGAGCAGTATGGAAAACAAGTGATCGTTAACCTATTGGGAAGCAGAGGAGGAGAGGAGGTGCTCAACAGAGCTTTTAAGGTAAAAGCAATGATTTTCTTTTTAACTCTGATTTCTCTTGAGCCTCCATGTTCTTCTGTTTTCCTTCTACCCCAGGAGGTGATGAATAGTATTTCTAAAGAAATTATGTTAACTCTTTACCACATTACCTACTGAGAATAGTGCTCCTTGGTTTCACAGCTTAGTTTCCAGCACGACCTCTCTGCTTAGCTCTTCATACATTTGCTTACATTCCCTTAACCAAACTTAAGAAGAAATTGCCTGAATGCTCCTAAGGATAGTTCACATCTGCAAAAGTGAGTCATAGCCAGCTTTGACATTGTATGCAACCACCTATGCAGTCCCCTGGGATTGCCGGAGCTGTCTGGGGGCTGGGTGAGCCTTGATCGCTGAGCACAGTGACTTAGCATCACTGAGCTGTCTTGCTCTGATTGTAATGGGAAATAGCTATCTAGCACTGTGTTTGTTGGGAGTTGGCTGCCTGAGCACCAGATGACAGTTCGGTATAGAGAGAGAGATTTTCCTGGCCTCTAAGTGCCCCCAGACACAACTAATACCTGAAAGCAAGGATGTCAGGCATTGTAGAACTAAAGCTATTCTGCTTTCTAGTGTGGTATTCTTTTTAAACTTAGTGTGAACTTAAAGCTGCTGATTGGCACTGAGTGGGATTTGCAGCAGTGCAATAGCTGCCTGAATCTGGCTGGGGGTTGATGGAAGTCTGCCTCCTTAGGTGCTTGTTGCTTTAGCAAACTGACTTAGATACTTCAGAAGTTATGTTCCTAAAACTAATGATAGGATGATTTAAGTACACACCTATAGTAAGTGCCATGTATATTTCATTGGTAGAGAATGATACCTGCAGTTCCAAGCTGAAACATTTATTATGTGAAACTAAACAAAATAAAAATAGTGGTTAAATAATAGTCCCTGATTTCTTTCCCTCTCTGTTGCAATAGTGAATTTAGAGGAAGTGTCAAGTTTGTTGTCAATTTTTTTGTGTGACCATTTCCTCCTCCTGCAAAAGAGCTGGGAAGGACTATGTATGTCCCCAGCAGAAAATGATGAAGTGAAGGTCTCCCCTTGTACAGAATGTGGCCAAAGAAAGTGATTAATGACTAAAACTTGCAAGGCAGTGAGGAAGGTACAAGAGTGGAGTCTGGTCCTGGTTTCTGTTTTCAGCTTCTTACTGAATTTCTGCATGACATGGCTAAGACTCTGTAATCTTTTGGTTTCCATCTCCTTAAAATAATTTTGCTTGTTTGTTTTGCAAACCCTACTGAAATTTAAAGGTTAAAGATAACAAATTCTGAAATGCTGAAATAACTTACATGGATAAAAAATTACATTTGTTGATAATTTGATACTGATATTTTCTCAAACTCTCACATTCTTGAAGATCATGTTCTAGCCAATATCATCCAACCAGATATTAAGTCAGAGACTGGGCATCCCTTGAATAAAGACCTTACATTTGTTAATTTAATTTAAATAAATTTTAAATTGTTTTGTCTAAATTGTTAGTTTTTTGCCTATTTTAGAAATAAATAAACTCTGAAAATAACCTGTGAGCTCAAAGAATTTAGACTGACATCACTGAAAACCAAAGTTTTGTATTAATTCAGAATGATTCCTTGGTCATTTCTTTACCTTTTTATTTTCAGAAATGAATGTTAGGAAAGACTATAGAGTTAATTTGACTTTGATTTTAAAGGGCTTGAATTAAAAATTAAGTAATTCATAGGAGTGTGATTAAGTTTGCAAGTCTCCTGTCATTAGTTTGTTCATCTATTTTTTGCTTTTATTTATTTCTCTTCACTCTTGCTTCAACCTCAGTAATTCTTATCAGCGTTGGTTCAAATGATTCTTGTAATTACTGCTGCTGGGCTCTCTTGATCAGAATGTCACAGTTACCACCATTCATTTACCATTTATTATGCATTACCTGAATCAGACCAGACCAAAAATCAATACTGTTCCCAGGAAATGCTGTTCCTCCCACAAGCATTCCCTATAACAGATGTAATTATGTTTACAGTAAAAGCAGGACTGTAGTGTAGAGTTGCAAATATTCTGACAATAATTCACACTGCAGCAGTGGGTAAATGCCATCCTCAAGTGCATTACTAGTGCCAGCATCTGTCAGGGCAGATTGGGATGTCAACAGTAACAGTCTAATGAAATACATTTTACAGATCTCTTTCCAAGCACTGCCTTTAAATTTCTTTCTGCAGGAAAGGCTTAATGGCTTACTCAATACAATTATGCTGGTGTAACTGCTACATGTACACTTTTAATGTAATATCAGATTTGTTTTGTCCAGTGTGTGTCACAATGTAAGTGGAGAAAATCATCCGTCTCTTGGCGTGAGAATGTGCAGGAGGGAAGAGAATAGACAAAGGCTTGCACAGTTTGAGTTAATGTAATGGTTCTCTCTGCCTTTCTTGTGGAGAACAGGATGTATTACTGTTACAGATACCTTAATGATGTAGATGTATCATTGCAGATACCTTAATGAAATTTGTGGTGGTTAGAGAAATGCATGTGAGGTCATTGAAACTGGAGGTGAAGTACTTGAGGCCATTTGTGCCTCTTCTTTCACTTCTGCAGTTTACCACAAACACTTTATAGTATGTTTCCTGGAGTGTGATTGCTTACTTACTTCCTCCCCCTGAGCCTGCCTAGAGCATTGCTAGTGCTGTCCTCACCTCATGCACAGAGGTAGCAGCAGCCCATTGCTGAAGGGCTGCCACCAGCCAAGGCACAATTCTATGTATACTTTGCAGTTACAGTTTTCCTGCAGGAAAATTGGGTTCTAACAGTCAGGTTTACTTCTGTGAAGACAACAAACAGGGAACTTCAGTTGCTTTTTTCATGTCTGGCCTTTCAAAATTCCCTACGAGCTATGTGATTAACAGTCCAGGCTAATTAATGATAAAAGTTTGCTGATATCAATCCTTACACGTGACTTGAGCAGGATTTTTTTCCTTCATTCTCTTACCTAAACAGAAACTGCTATGGGCATCTTCCCATGCGGAAGACAGTCCCATGATAAACTTTGACTACAACCAATTTGCAAAAGGTGGGAAAACTGAGAAACTGGAAAATTTGCTAAGGCCTCAACTGAAGTTGCACTGGGAAGACTTTGGAATCTTCTCAAAGGGCGAGCATGTAAGTCCACGGTGAGTGTCTCTGCCCCTCTGTCCCAGTGTAGCTGGGCACTGCTTGTCCTGGCCTTCCCAGGTTTCTTGCTGTGTTGGGACCATGACCATAAATTGACCATCTTGAAATAAAATTTTGAGACAAAGTGTAGTCTTGGTGCTAAATCAATGACTTGGCTTAATTGCATCTCCATGGTTTCAAATCTGCAAATTTACCAGTGCGTGGATTTGCTAATATAGTGTTGCAGATGTAATCAAGTAATTAGATGTGTTAATGGAATATATTGTGCACAGTGTGCTTGCACCGTCAATACGTGGGTGGGTGTATTCAGGCTGAACATTTGATGATCTTGTTCAATCAACTCATGATTAGATGTTATTTTAAAATATACCATTTTCTCCTCCCTCCTCTTTGGTTACCAAAGTCTGCAGACAGGTACTTTTCGAATGAATTGTTTGGACTGCGTGGATCGTTCTAATAGTGTACAGTCCTTCGTTGCGCAGGAGGTGAGTTTGTCAGAGGACCTTCCGTGGGATACCTGTAGTTCATACATTGACTGTTCCATGGGAAAGACAGGAAAGAGGCTGTAAGTCTCAGTTACACAGGTCAGTCTTGCTGCTCTATGGTACAGAATGGTGCTGACTGGAATACTGAGGATAAAAAGAAAAAACATATTTGAAAACAATATTTGTTTCTTTTTTGTGTTTTTTTTCTCCTTCTGCACCTAATCCAGATACTGTTTGCTCAATTAGAGAGCCTTGATTTGAACTCTAAACCTATAATTGAGCGCTTTGTGGAATCCTACAAGGAGATGTGGACTCTCAATGGTCAAAATCTGAGCAGAGTATTTAGTGGCAGTCGTGCCCTTGAGGGGAAGAACAAGGTAAAGAAAAATGGCAAAACTCTTTATTTACAAGTAAAGAAAGATGTCCTATTTATTCTTCAGTGTCACTTGTATTCATAATTCCTGTCTGCTGTAGGTTGGGAAGCTCAAGGATGGTGCCCGCTCTGTGTCTCGTAGCATCCAGTCAAATTTCTTAGATACAGTGAAGCAGGAAGCCATTGAGCTGCTGCTCATGGGTGACTTCTACCGTGAGGAATATGCAGACAAGGGCAAGATGCTCATGGACCAGACTGCACTGCTGGGTAAAGCCAGTCTAAATGCTCCCCTTTGGTCTTGCATCTGCTTTTAGCTGTCAGATATAAGCAATTGTACCCTCAATCAATATACAAGCTGCTGTTGCACAGATCTGTTGTTTAAAGCACTACTTTCAAATGACCATAGCGCAACTCTTGTGCTTATTTCTCATATTTTGTTTTGAACGTTTGAATATGTTTTTCTGTTCTTTGATAGTGATAATCTCTGACAGTTGAGATCTGAGGTCCAATCTTAGAGCTGGACCAGAGGGAAGGATTTTAGGGCTGTATTCCCAGTCTGCCCTGAGTTTGTCTTGAAGAAATCTCTTGAGCTCAGCCTTTTTATCTCCTTAATTGTGTCCTTGCTCTTTGCACATGCTTTTAGCCATTTGGATCTTTAAAGGCACATCTCTGTTATTTTAGTTCATTTCCTGCTTTGTTCCAGTCCCCTAATAGTCCACAGCATAGACATATTTGTTTGCACTCATCTAGAATAAACTCAGCTCTCTCTGAGAAGATATTTGCAAACAAAATATAGAATAATTTCACCCACAACAAGTATTGGATGGTCAGTTTATTCCAGAGAACCATTCAGCACCACTTTAGTCCTGGGCTTGTTCCCTGATGTTGACCGCAAGGAAAATATAGATTACTTCTCCATGCCTGACTGCAAGTTGGGTAGTTAATGATTAACTCTGCTTCATTTGTTTAGACAGCAGAAGCACATTGCTAATTTTCTATACTCAGCAAAATAAGTAAATATAGCAGGGGTTTTTTTTGAAGAGTTCTTGCCCAGCTGAAGAGAGGCATGGCAGTGCTAGATTTGTACTGATGTGAGACTGTGCTGCTCTCCATCTTTCCTTCCACATTCTAAACTTCTAAAGGCTTCAGTTTAAGTTGTAACTTATGACATGCTTGATTGCTTGTCCTGGTTTCAGGAATAGAGTTCATTGGCTTCCTTGTGTGTGGTATAATGTTGTGTTTTGGATTTGAGACCAATGAATGGGCGAGCGCTTGTGTGCTGTACTTGGTTGCCAGCTGTGTTTAAACCACAGCAGGCTGGTAAGGCACACTGAGGGTTTTAGCTGTTGCTATATAGTGTTCATACTAAGTCAAGGGCTTTCCACTTCTCATGCTCTCCCATTCAGAAGGCTGGGAAGGCTACAAGAAGCTGGGAGGGGATGCAGCCAAGACAGGTGACTCCAAATGGCCAGAGAAATGTTCCATACTAAATGATGCCATTCTTGGTATATAAACTGGGAGGGGGGGAAATCTCCCCCTCCCTCTGAGGGCCGCTGCTTTGGAACTGACTGGGCACTGTGCCACACTGGTTTTGTATATTCTAATTCTATTTTTATTTTCCCCTTTTCTGTCCCATTAAACTGTCTTTATCTCAGTCCATGTGTTTTCTCACTTTTACTCTTGGGATTCTCTCCCGCCTTTTGCTGCAGGGGCAGGGAATGAGCTGGGGGAGCAGGGAATAAGTATTACTAAGCACTGGTTGCCCAGTGGGGTTAAACCATGATGGTGCTATAGACTAAACTGAAAAGATTATGAGGGATAAAAGAATTTTTGCATATTACTTGAAAAAGTACAGAAAAATGTAAGCTGAAAGCCTGTGAGCAGCCATTCCCAAGCTTTCAAAGGATGCCTGGTTTCTGGAAGAGAAATTGCTGACATCAACCCCAGTTATCCTGTAGCTACTGCCACTGCCATAGGAGTTATTCCCTACCTTTTGTATTGTTGCTGCTAGGGTAATGTTATTATTTCAGAGTGACTGTGCTGCTGCAGTGGGGATGGTTTCTGTCCTTTTACAGCACATTCTTCTTTTAAACACCATCTTTCTCTCTCCCCTCTTCTGTCAGTAACTCCAAGTATTTTGAAGGCCATGTCAGAGCGTCAGTTTGAATTCACAAGCTCCAAGCGTGTTCGTGTTGCCACGGGGACCTGGAATGTGAATGGGGGAAAGCAGTTTCGAAGCAACATCCTTGGCACCAGTGAGCTGACAGACTGGCTGCTGGACTCTCCCAAGCTCTCAGGAGTTTCAGAATTTCAGGGTAAGACTTCACAGTCAAAATGTGTAAGCAGTATTTGCTGGCATCTCTAGAGACAGTGAGTCAGGACACAAGATTTGACCAGCCTTTTAAAGGCAGTACATTTTGGAGGGCATTTTCTGTCAGTTCTTAGGGGTGTATTCAGCTTCTCCATGCTTTTGCTGCCCTGCAGAAGTGGAATGGTGTGCGAGCTTCTGACAGTCAGAGTTCTTCGAACACTTTGAAACATGTGACTGTTTCAAACCTTCAGCAGGTCAGAATTCAGAGCTCTCTTTCATGCCATCCTGAAATGTATCTACCTATTCTGCACCCTGTATATAATTTTCTTCTTCCATATCTCTGTTCTTTGTTCTTTGTCGTAAGCAGGAGCTACGTGCTTAGGTGCCATCAGAGCATCTCGGTCTCTCATCTGGAGCTAAACATATCTATGCAGTCTGGACTGTGAGCTTGTCTGGAAATGTTACTATCAAAGCCTTCAGACAAAAAGATTTACTTTGTTGAAGGCAATATTTCCTTTCTTTAGCAGTACAGAGAACTCTTATGCTTGTGGCTTGATGAAATTGGCTGCTGAATTTCTTATTTATGGAACAAGGTCAGGTATTGCAATGGATTTACAGATTTTTTTATTAAGGTAAATGAGAAGGCAACATTCTGTCATTTAAAAATTGAGTGGTTGCAAAACCCATGCTTTTGTTGTTATGGTGGAACATTTAGTTTTCTGCAGGCATCACAGGCATAGTCCTGTACCTAACCTTGTAGCTCAGGAATACATTCCTCAAATCCTTGGCTCCCTTATACAAGTTGTCTCATTTGAACCCTTAGTTCCTCAGTGGTATGTGATTAGGTGCAGACCACTGTATTCTGAGTAGCCTAGGTAAGTAATTAGTCCAGTCTAGTCTATTTCAGAAACACTTCAGATGTGTTAGCACATGACTGTGCCCATAACACTAAAATTTGTTGAGAGCCTGTCATGTGTTAGCCTTGCCAGACTGTCCCCTGAGAGAAGCAGAGGAGCAGGCAGCTGTGGCATGGTAGGTCTGAGCAGCTTCTGGAAGAGAGCTGAGTTATGTGAATGGGCAGGGCTAGGGTGCGACCATGCAAATGTCTGAACCCATGTTAATGCCAGTGCAGGGCCTACACAAATGGGCAAGTGTTCAAAGACAGATGTCCAAAATTATTAAGGAAATACACGTGACGGTGCCTGTCTGGTTAAGCTAGTAAAGGAGGCTAGCTGTCATGCTACTTTCACCCTTGTGTCTGCACAGAGTTGCTGCATATGCTGCTTTTTGTTTGTGATTTCTGAGTCAGATTTGATTTAGGTTCCTTTGTTTGTCTATATTTAGATCTTCATGTTGAATTAAGTTACAGTCATTGTGGTCATATGACACTTTAAAAAAATTTAAAACTCTTTAGGCAATGGACAGACCTAATGGGTCAACAGATTTGCTTCACACTATTTTATGACAGCATCTGATCTTTGATGTTTCCTCAGAGTAATATAAACAGAGCCAGGGAAAGAGGGGTGGGGGTCATTGTGCTCTAGGGTGATCTAACCTTAAATATAAGTGATCTAAGAAGGACTTGGAAGAAAGAAGGCAAGAAGAAACTTCAGAAGCATCCTTAAACTAGATAAATTTGCTAAAGGCATTGAGATGAAGGTGACATACTGGTGTCTAGACAATTAAGTTCAGTTGCACAGGAATCTATGTCAGAAAGGAGGAGCACGTTGGATAAAATTACAAGAGGGTAAGAGATGGTGACTAGTGAGGTGTTGTGGCTTTAGTGATGAGTGGGATGTGGGAGAGAGGGCTTAACACTGCTACAGTATAATGCTCTGTTCTGAACTGCTTCCTGCAGGAGAGATGGAGACCAACTGGTGGGAGAAAAGCAGGAAAAAATTCAGAAGAACTGCAGGGGATGTTTTATGAGATTAGATTAAAGGAGCTATGAATATGTATAGCTTGGTAGGGGATACATAAGATAGAAATACAGGAAGGATCTCTGACAGAAATTAGAATACAAATCATTAGAAGAAACAACAAAATTTTAATTCTGGCATGACTTTTCTTTCCTGCCAACAGATGATGATAACTGCCCTCCTGACATATTTGCAGTGGGATTTGAAGAGATGGTTGAATTAAGTGCAGGGAACATTGTGAATGCCAGGTACGTTAAAAAAAACCCAAACCACCGAGCAGACAAAACCAACAAAAACCCCTAATCAACCAACCTAAAAAACCAACCAGCCAAAAAAACCCCTTGCAACTGTAAAAAAACCCAACCCAATCAAACAAACAAAACCCCAACAAAAAGAACATAATCTTTCCCAGAGGAACTGGCCATGTTCATTTTTATGGTCACTGGGCTCACTCAGTTCCAAGTCTGTTGTCTGCAACCATCGCTGGAAATATGTTTTCCCTTAAAAATGTCACTGGGATGATGTTGAAAGTGCTCAGTTTCCTAAGTCTCTTAAGTCTTTATGTTGTCAGAGAAGAATTCTGATGGTTGAGCTTGATCTAACACTTGTCCTTAAAGCCGTGTCTGATGTTGGAAAAATGTGCTTAATGACTACAAACATAATTGCCATTCATGTGGGAATTCGAAAATTGTCTAAAAATGTCTCTGTGGCTAATTGTATTTGTGAAAATTGTACAGAAGATGTTAAATGCAAAGCCTGAGGTAGCCTGAGGTAGCATGTGCAGTAGGCCATTGTGTTTACTGATCCTAGTGAATCTGAATGGAGGTGGAATGCTGAAGATCATGTTTCCAATGCTGATTCTTTAGGCTGGCCACTTAGTTGTCTGTTTTGGGAATGACAAGTTACAGCAGTGCTTAGTGTGGCTGCTGGGCTGGTGGTATATCTGCATGGATATGTTGACTTTGGAGAAAAGAAAAAGCTAGATCCACTGATATGAAGGTATATGCAGCTATTCACAAACCTTTGCTAGAAACAGCCAACAGCTGTGAGTAGCCAGTCACCTTCCAGTCACAAAAAAAGTTAAAAGTCATGAGATTGATTTGGAAATTTGTTTTTATGGTTATGATTGCTGTAATCAGCTTCCAGTTATCCCCAGTGAATGGGTATATCCAATGTCATGTGAGTGTGGGTGTTTCTAAGTGTATTAGACAAATCCCTCACACATCCAGAAGCAGGATAACTGTATTTGTGTGCTTTGCCTGGGCTCACTGACCCTGCTAACTCTAGGCTGGCTTACAAGGAGGTATTATTGGTCTCTGCCATGCATTCTACAGCACTTCATGTTCTACAGCCTAATGGGATGTCTGTAAACCTAAGGCACAGTTAGTCTGTTCATTTTATTGACTGCATGTGGTTTGTTTTGATTCCATTAAATGATTTTATGTTTGTTCCAGTACAACGAATAGAAAAATGTGGGGAGAGCAGCTTCAGAAAGCTATTTCCAGGACTCATCGCTACATTCAGCTGACATCAGCACAGCTTGTTGGTGTTTGTCTTTTCATCTTTGTACGACCATATCATGTCCCCTTCATCAGGTAAAAAAAAATCCAAACCAAACAAACAACTACAGCAACAACTCAACAAAAAAACCCAGCAAACCAAAACAAACAAAAAACCCCACCCCAAAATAAAACTAATCTAACAACAACAACAAACCTCAAACCAGCTAAACAAAAAAGCCCCAAAACTCACCCTGTGTCTTCAGTGACATCTGGTGTTGTAGCATGGCCAGAGAAAATGGGGTGGACTTGCTCATCTTGGTGGGAGTCATGCAAACCTGTGTTCTGGTCTCTGCTCAGCATGGAGAAGAGGCATGCTTCCAGACAGCAACAGGCTGGAGTCCATCTCCCTGGGTAGCACAAAGGCCAGGCAGCGTCAGTGCCTTCCTCCAGGTAGCTGCAAAGCCAGGCTTGCTCCAGGTGGGCAGTCAGGGTGGAGCACCTTGTTTGGGTGCAATCTTCCTGGGAAGGGAATGACCTGGGCTAGTAAGTCCAAGAGCGTTTAATGCACTGAATGAAGGAAGTGCCTGCCCTGCCTGAAGGGCAGGTTTTACTTCTAGCCCTGTCCATGATTCCTTATGGAAACAGGGATAGTTCTAGACCTAAAAAGAATGGGGGAAAGAGACCTGATTTTGGCCCTTGACATTTTATAGAGGTAAGAAAACCTGTGAAGTGTTTGTCTTTCCCAGATGACATGAGAACCAGAACTGTGTGCCCAGTCAGGAGAGTGCAGAGCTATGTATCCTCTGCTTACTGACTCAGCTGTCCCTGGAGAGTGATCAAACTCCTCCTAGAAAATTACCCATGGGGATACTTGCATTAAAATGCCTTTGCTGTGGGCAAGAATTATGCAGGCTAAGTGTAAAAGAATGATGCAGGCTAAATGTAAATGGTTAGGAAGTGAATAATTAGCCAAAACTATCTTTGGGCATCTGTCTGACCTTAAAGCCCCGAGATCCAAACACTCCTTGCTAACCCCATATTAGGGCACTGATTGGCCACTGCATTTTGTGATTAAAATATCAAAAGCTGCCTCTTTCTTCCCTGTGATCTCATACCTACTGAAAACCTCAGAACAGAGCTTGTGCAACATCAGGGGCTGTAGGCCAGACAGAGCAATACAATGCAGGTAACTGATGGTCTTGCATTGCTGCTTTCCAGTAATCTTTCTTCAAAATTATTTAAAGAATTTTTTTTTTTTGCTGCTGCTATGAAGCAGTCCAGAGGAGAAGTGTTTCTCTCAGTTTGTGACTTTTCACCTGGCTTAAAAAAATTTGAGTAATCCAGTAGGAAATTCGTGGTTTAAATGGACATCAGAAGCAGAACAGCACAGTGGTTCTGTTGCAGTTGTCAAACTGCTGGAAATTGGATGTAGCCCTTTGAAACTCAAGAGAAAAAGGGAAGTTGATTTTACTGACCAAGTTTCATTATTTAATGCAAATGTGCTGCTATGTGCTATGTGAGCATAATCAAATCTAACCTGTATGCTTGCTTATTTTTCCCATGTCTAGAAGAGGAAAGGAAAAATGATCAGAAGTGCAAAAAAATGCTTCTATGCTTACCGAGATTGAAGAGATTTAGACAGAAGACAGAGAATAGAGAAATAATGAGACAATAGCTGGTTTATACATCAGTGAAATGATTGATGAAATACAAGCAGCTGAATTTACAGCGGGTTATTTCAGCATAACCTTTGCCATGAATGAAAATCAGTTGAATACCAGCCAGGAGATGGGTTGGCAGGCAACAGGAAGGGAGAACTTTAGAGTGAAAAGACTGAATACCGTGCTTCTGTAGGAGTGCTTAAAACCCATTGTTTCATAGAAAACTTTGATGTTCCTCCTTTGCCTCCCTGAGGGTGTCTTCTGGTGGTGTCCTGCTGTCACAAAAAGACAGGAAATTAAAGATAGAGGAAAAAAAGTATAAAAGATGGGGGAGGAAGAGAGAGGAAAATGAAGGGGGTGGGAAAAGGAGGCCTGTAACATCTTGCATCATTTACATCATGAATTTCTGAGAATAACTCAAATAAAGCTTAGAAGTTTTCTGCACATCCCTTTTTAACATCAGTAATATTCTTGTCAGATCTGCTTGATGTTTTCTCTGGAAAGTAAAATTTTCTCACTGGGAAAGGCATGCACTGTACTAGGGTTGGCTAAAACAATGATCTCACCATTTACTTATCTGATCAGACAGCCATGCTTTGTTCTTGGAGTAGCCTGGCTATTTGGGAGAAATTACCCTGAGAGCAGGTGGTCTGCTTTATCAAATTATCTTTCTGTAGTGAAATGTGTGCTAATCATCACATTGAAATACTAAGTGATTAGCAACATGGAGATCTTAAGCAATTTGTCATCAGTACAGAACTCATTTGAGAAGTTACATATAAATAGTTGTATCCAATAATCTCTGATTTTATCACATCTGATTTAATGAAGTATGGGTTATGATCTGCCGCTCTTTAATTAAATGGAAAATCCATCATGAATTGTGAAGTTGGGTTTCAACACATATGAACAGTAAATTTTTAATTGTCTGAAAAGCACATTCCCATATGTTCAAAAGTAAAAGGAAGCATAATGGTAAAATTTAGTTATTGTCAATATTTTAAGGATCATGGTAGAGGGAAACTTGAAAAGTATATTCTGTAGAAATTCCCAGTATTTCAGAAATTAGGTTGTGCTGGTCTGCTTGGAAGGGATGAGAAAAGAAGAAAAGTATTTTCAAATAGTTTTTTGTAGTATTGTATTAAACTTAATTTGAAATATAAGTACATGAACATCAAGAAACTAAAAGATGTGCCTAAAAGCAGCAAGCTTTCTAGAGGGGAAAAGACATGGCATTGTAAACTGGCTTTTCCCTTTATATTGCAGCCAAAGTTAATTGAATGTTTGTCCCTGAAGCCCTTTACTCTGTTCCTTTTCTATTTTTTTTTAAATGCAGGGATGTAGCAATAGACACCGTGAAGACAGGAATGGGAGGAAAAGCTGGGAATAAAGGGGCAGTGAGCATTCGTTTTCAGTTCTATAGTACCAGTTTCTGCTTTATATGCAGTCACTTGACTGCTGGGCAGACTCAGGTGAAAGAGAGGAATGAAGATTATAAAGAAATCACACAGAAACTCAGCTTCCCAATGGTAAGTGTAGATGTATGTGTGGTAAAAGTATTGGAGATAAAGGTGGTATCTTTACATCATGAAAGCTGGTCTCAGGCTGTCTTTGATGACAGGTCATCAAAGAAGGCATCTCAGTACCATGAAAGAAAATGTTAACAAATAAATAAATAAATAGGGAAGCATGTTTCACAGAAGAGGAAGTACTACCCAATGTAGCACTTGCTTTACAAAAGTACTAATCCTTTGAAAAACCAGAGTTGCTCCAGTGCTTGAAAAGTCCTTGGCTTTGAGCAGTTAAGCTCTAGATGACTGATGATGAAGCTGGAGAGCGACATTGATAGCTCTTGCTGGCTCTAGTGAGTGAGAATTCCTGAAAGACCATCCATGCCATTCAGTGCAGCAGTGCCTTGGCTGCTTCTGGTTGGGTATGATGGATCAGTTCTTGGGCACTGGCATGGTACCCTCTGTTCCCTTTCTTTCGTCCTCCTGAATGTGTCACTCTCAAGGAACTGCTGGCTTCTCTCAGAGCGTGGCAATAGGCACCACTGGTCTGCATGAATAACTTTTCCCCTAAATTGTGTCAAATCAGTCACCCTAGTGTTTTTAATTCCAGCTTGTCTCCTCAGGCCAGTTGATAACCCATGGGATTTGGTGGCAGGGCTCCTTTGCTTCCCTTAATGTTGATTGCTTTAATTTCCACAATACCTTCTTTCTTGGGCCTCTCTGTAAAGGCCTAAGCCAGGACGGGATTGGTTGAGTTTGTGTATTCTGGTTAGTCAGCAAAAAATGGCATTTAGGTTGCAAAGCATAAAATTTTACCTTCCTGTTGTTTGTAAGGTTTAGAGGCTTGGCACGTGCAGCATATCAATCAGTTGGTTTATGTAGGAGCTAATACTGACAGACTGGACGTCCTGCAAAGAGGATCTGTTCCAAATGGCCATAAAGTTGTGCTTATGGTAGTTTTTTCTTCTAACTCGTTAACTATTTGATGTCCTTTACACTTAGAGCCCCTAAAGGTACCTTGTGTGTATAATGCATATAAAGAGTGCCCTCTAGTGCTGTGACTGCCACAGCCTGGAACGTTTCCCTTATGAATCTCTGGTGTTAAGAGGATTATTGCTGTGCTAGGAAGGAAGAAAAAAAAAAAGACTGGTTAGAGGATAGGATGCTAAATTTAGAACTGGAGTGAATTTTCATTGACGTTTGATTTCAATACCTTTACAAAACTGTGACGTGCACATAAGATCTAATTTGGAAATTGTTCTTACTCAGGAGCTTGTTGCTAAATTTGCCTTGGTACCAGAGGCACATTTTGTGTTATATTTAGAATATGCAAATATATGCATGTGAAATGTGTTAGGGAAACAAACATATTTTGAATATTCATGAGAGGCAAATTGTGAATATAAAGCTAGGATCCAGCTTAGACATACCTTCAGGAAAGAGGGGTCAGAGTCTGACATTATTGTTTACAAAATTCAGCTCAGTGGGGTGCCAAAGCCAGGGAAGGAACCATTCTATTTTAGCACAAAATGAATTTTGACAAATGAATTGTGACAATTAGGTCCAGTATTTAGTAAGTCAGAGAGACGAGTGCTACATTTCAGTGCATTTCAAAGGTGTTTTCATGAATGTGATTTAACATTAACAGTATTCTGTACCTCAAATCTAGGGGCAGAACATGTTCTCCCATGACTATGTCTTCTGGTGTGGTGATTTTAACTATCGCATTGATCTAACGTATGAAGAAGTCTTTTATTTTCTCAAACGTCAAGACTGGAAGACACTTTTGGAATTTGATCAACTACAGCAGCAAAAATCCAGTGGAAAAGTAAGGCAGTGTGTCTCATTTTCTTGAATAACTGCATGTTGGCTGGGTCCTTCTTGTTCCTTGAGAGAGTAAAGAGGTTGCATTTCAGACCCTTGTTTGTAGCACTTGAATGCAGCAATTATTTTAAAAATCAGAGCATTGTGAGGAAGTTGGTACATCACAGTGGCACCTTTCTCATCTGTAACTTAAAGAGATGTTCTTTATTTAATTAGATTTTTAAAGACTTCCATGAAGGGACTATTAATTTTGGACCAACATATAAATACGACGTTGGCTCGGAGGCTTATGATACAAGTGATAAGTGCAGAACCCCAGCATGGACTGACAGAGTGCTTTGGTGGAGGAAGAAACTGCCCTTTGAAAAAACAGGTGTGTAGAATCCTTCTTTATCTGAAAGTTGTGTTAGAATTCACCTAGAACCCATTAAAGGGGGCTTAACCTACTGAATGGTGCTTTACTCAAGCAGATGTTCTTTCAGCTTCACTGGATTAAGTGCCAGAGATAGAGAAGGCCCTTTTTTCTTGGGGGTGTGTGAACAAAGGCTTTATGCTGCAGGTGCTGGGAGCTCACTAAGGAACTGAAAACAGCCCAGCTGTAGTAGTACAGAAATAATTCTGTAGTTTTTCAACAGAATCATTAGTCCACATGAAGTTTCTGTGTTATAATGGCTAGATAGTTAAAACTGCACTTCTCAGTAGATGTAGAAACAGTTTTCTGTAATTTCTTCTGTACTGTAATTCTTAGGAGTATTTCTTCTAGTTTATAGAATTGGGGAGGTTTCATTCATTAGTCCTGATAAAGTACTTTGAATTCATGAGTGGCCAACACAACAGAAAGGCCATTTTCACTTGTTATTCAAAAGTTGCAGTTAAGAAATAAAAAGTATTTCTTTGCATATCGAGATAGTTCTCATAATCATTCTCTTAGTCTGCAGGAATGTCTATCCCCCAGTGTTTCTAAAATTTGAATAAATTCATATTAGGAGTGTAATTGCTGGAGAGTTAATTTGATCTGTGCCTGCAGATGTGGTTTTTCACATGCCTGGAAATTTCTGCTTGGAATCTAAGTCATACCATGACTATGTTAAGTGTAAAAACTACAAAGCAAAACTGGGGCAGTGAAAGAGTGCATGTCATCATGATACAGTTATTCCCTCTTATCTAAGGAATGAAAAACCAATTAAAATGAGGAGCCTAAACCATTGATAGAGATGCAGTCCAGGGAAGAAAAGCTGTATGAGATATAATAAGGAAGTTAAAACAGCCCTCTTGTGTAGGTCTGCCCCAGCTGGCTCACATGGGTCCATAACTGACTGGTACATTCTCAGCCCTGCACAGCTTTCTTAGTTTGCTGCCAGAGTTCCTCTCCTTTACTGCTGGTGGCAAGGCTCTTCTGCCTCTCAGCTCTTTTTGTGTTGCATCTTGTTGCTGCTATAGGCTAAATGACTGCTTGCTTTATGAGAAGAAAGTGTAGCCCCAGTGTGAGTGACTAGGATGAAATGCCATATTCCATATTAACTCATTTTCAGCTTCACAGGAAAGAGGGACAGAGTTATCCATTCAGTCAAACAGTGACCCAAAAACTTCCTTGTTACTAACAACAATAGAATACCTCTAGTGTCATGTCTGGAGCACTTTCTGTACCTTAAGCGTTGCAATGGAATAATCTGGAGGTTGGATTTTCGTGGGTTTGGTTTCTCATATCTCTTGTGTATTATTCCTCCAATCCCTGTCTAATACTCAGATTTACAAAATAGTTTCCAAGTGCAATGTCTGGTTTTATGCTCAGTGTTGAGGTAGGAGGTAAAATACTAATATGACTCTATCAACCCTTGTTGTACAGATAATTAATTGGGTGACATTCTGATCAACAATTTTGCAGTTTCTTACTCTACTGATCAGCTGTCTCAGTTTCACTCTCAGTCCTTTCTTTTTTTTTTTCTTTCTAGTCACTAATTTGTAAATCTTGTAGGATACAAGCTCTTCTTTGAATGATATATGTACCAGAATTAAAGAACTCCCACCGCCCACTAGTAGGGTCCATGGAGAGCTTCCTAATAAAATAGTGTTTAACTGCTACTAAAACTGGATTTGAGTGACTTTTCAATTATGTTTTGTGCTGCATAGCTGGAGAGATTAATCTTCTGGACAGTGATCTGAGTGCTGATACTAAAGTCAGGCATACCTGGACGCCTGGAGCCTTGATGTACTATGGGAGAGCAGAGCTGCAAGCGTCCGACCACAGGTAACTAAATAATCAGAGAGAGTTTAAAATGTGCCAGATTAAAATGTGTCATGCTAAATTACACCTTCAGAGCAAGGGACTAAGTCTGATTGAAACAGGAATTACACCTTTATTCCATGTTCAGTATCTGCTTCGTGGGTCTTTTCCTCTCAGGGTGAGTTTTATACTAGAGTGGCAAGTATCTAAAGTCATGTATTTATTTTTCCTGCACGGTGATTGCAGCTAGGGTTGGATAAGTTGCAGCAAGAGGTATAGAAAACAGAGCTTTCTGTTATTTGGTTTAAAAAGCTCTGATACCTAAGGAAGCTGCTCTGATGGATTTCCACTCAGCTTGCTGCAGGAGAGGAGGAGGTTGGGACTGTGTGGCCTGAAGAGGTGTAAGCCAGGCCACACAGGGATGAGTTTGGCCTCTTCACTCAAGTACTCAAGTGTGGGGCTTCTGTGCCTCCTTTAAAAACAGTAATGGGAAAAGGTAGAAAAATCAAATACCAGTGTTTCTGGTTGATCTGTATAATTGACTTCTCTTTAGGGATGTGAATGACCTATCTTTAATAAAATTGTTCTCTACTTCACTTCTGAGAAACAAATTGTGAGATAAATACACTTTGAAAGGTCCCTTATATTCAGAATATTTCTCTCACCCCTTGCATGCTTTGTGGAAATGCTACAATTTTGCTCCTCCTAGCAATGCTCAGTGACCCCCAGTAGCTGTCTGGGTGCTTCTGGTGGTGCTCTTGCATGCCAGGACTGTTCTGTATTCCCCTAGCAGTGAAGGAACATGCCTCTTGCAATCAGTTTCTCTGTGTCAAGGCTCTGGCATTGCTGTGCTCTCATTATGTAGGACCCTGAGGATGGGATCTGTGAAACATGACTGTTATACATGCTTTTCTATTTCAGCAGACTTGACTCCAAAAGCTGCTTTTTAATTACAGTCAGCAGCTTTGCTTTCCTAAGGTTTGTGCTAGAAAAAGGGCATAGCTGTATCTTTGTGACATATGGAAATGCATTATGATTCACAATGCTTATGGAAATAGTTAATGCTTTCTATACATTTTTCCCCTCTGTTATCCCTTTCTAGCCCTGCTGTTGTTGCTTTTATGTGTTCTGGTAATGTGTATTCAAGAGCCAGGACTATTGCAAGTAGAAGGCAGCAATTTTGACACAGTTGTAAGAGCAGCTGTCCCACTCACTGGTCTGTGTGTATATGCAGGTGAAAATCAGAGAGTGTGGATTGCACCCACTGAGATGAGATGAGTTCTACTCTTTCAGCCAGCTCTCTCAATTTTATTCAAATCTAACACACAGAGAAGTAATTTGTAAGAAATGGCTCAAGAAGCAAGTTTGCAGTGTTGGCTGCTTTAGTGTAATGAAGTGGCACATATTTGCTACATGACCATATTATACATCTAGAACACCTTGTCCTTAGTTTTTGTAAGATATGTGGCCTTGTCTAACAGAAAATCATATATTTCCATATATATTAATAATATAATATATAATAATAACATATTATATTTAGATGTTTGGGGCCACAGCTGTTTGATGATGAATGAAGTATCCTGAAATTTTGGTCTGTAGGTTTGCCATAAGTGCTTCATACAATTGTTATTTCAAGTCACTTATGGTGTGTCTTCAGTTACATTCAGCTAATGCAGGACTACGAAATATAGTTAATAGTGCTCAAGACATGTTGTTAACCACTGCAGAAAAAATGAATCTTACCTGTTCTCCTTCTTTATATAGATTTTAATTTTATATAAGCAATTCTTATTTTTAAATAAGTATTTTTCCTTTGTTTTGTGTAGGCCAGTGTTAGCTATTGTAGAAGTGGAAGTTCAGGAAGTTAATGAAGCTGCCCGTGACAGTGTTTTCCGAGAAGTGTCATCTTTCCAGGGACCACTGGATGCCACAGTAGTGGTAAATCTGCTGTCACCAACACCTGAAGAGAAAAATGAATTTCCTGAAGACTTGCGTACAGAGCTTATGCAGATGTTTGAGGATTATGGCACTGTTGTTCTGGTCAGGTGAGTGTGGCATGTGAAATGGCATGGCATCTATTAAAAACCACAGACTAGAAGATCCCTATTGTCCTGACAGAGTTAACTTTGTACTGGAAAATTGGGTATGTAGAATTCCTTTACTGCACTTTCAGTTCTTCATTAGAAATTGAATGCAAGTTTTTGAATATCTTACACCTCTCAACAACCTTTTAAAGAAGTAATCCAGCAGGTCTCTTGTCTGACTGGAAGATAATTTTATTCAGTACAATGCCATAAAAGCAGAGACTTTGATGTAAATCATCATCTTTAGATTCAGGCCTCATTTCCAAGCATTGCTGCTTCTGGTGGATCCTTGGGCCCTGCTTCACCTCCTCTGGGGGGGTCTGCTCTCTTCCACCACTCTTTCACACTTGGCAGGAATTCCTGGCTGGCTCTCCTTCCTGTTGGGGGTCATTTTGCTTGTTTGTTAACAGTACAGCTTCTCACAGAGCTATCACCCACTGGGTTTGAGAGGGAGAGTGTGATACCTTCTGGCAGAGCAGCTTTATTTCATTCTGATTGATTCTCTACAGGGCTCCAGCACAGCTGTGAGACTTCTGTTTTGAGAAATACAGGCAAAAGACCCAACAGTGACCTCTGGGAAACACTGCCAAAAACTTGTTCAGGTTTATTTGATTCATTTGTTAGTGGAGAAAGCTGATGACCTGTTATTGTATAGTTTTATATCGCATGATATAAGCTGAGGGTTCCAAAGCAGCTGTTCAGGAAAAACAGCACCACCTTGCTTGTAAAAGAAAGGAGCAAGAAAAGAACATGTTTTGGTGGATTGTTCTTGGTGTATTTTGTTTTGAATTGCTTTAGATCTTGTTGGAATACAACTCTGGGAACATCACATGTCATCTGAGGTGTAGGATATGCAGAACCACAGAAGTTAGTCCAGAGGGAGTGTAGCTATTGGACTGGGTATCCTGCCAACAGCTACTGAGATGTTTGTCCTGCTGTTCCAGGGGTGATCCAGAAAAGGGCAGGGTGCTGGGGTCATAAAAGGGAGGATTGGAGAGAAAAGGAGCCCAGCTGGGATTCACAGACCACCTGTTCCTCCTCAAAAAATAGAATTGTGAAGGAAAATACAACTAAGACCAACTGCATAGCATTGCATATGTATCCTGTATATAGATCTATATGGTAGATTTCTATCATGCTAGCCTTCAAAGGATTTTATTCAATGGTGAAATAAAATGTTATTTCTCCTCTGCCTTTTTTCACTAGGATCTGTGGAGGTCAAATGCTGGTGACATTTGCAGACAGCAAGTCAGCTCTTCGTGTTATGGATATAGATGGTGCCAAAGTAAGCCTTTCTCAAACCTATAATAATAATTTCATAACAAATTTCTCAAAAGTGGTTGCTTAGAGTGAAGTACTTGAGTTTCTACCTAAATCAAGTAGCATTATTTCAAAGAGTTAGTGCTCATGAAGTCCTTTACTTTCACATCTGCTGAGTCTATTAATGCAGTACTTTAGTGTCAGGATGGCATGAGGTGACTTTTCATGGATCCCAAGCAGTGCTTAGGATCTGGCCTCTGACACCTGTGCAGAACACAGGGACTTGTTCATGGTTGTGGCTGCTTGAAGCAGTTCTCCTGACATTCTGTGTGACTTCATACTGTTGCCAAAGAATCCTCATGATTGTGGTTTGGAGAATTTTTGTTTCTTCAGTATCAAATAGGCTCCTTCTGCTAAGCTGTAACAACATGATTCATTGGCTTCCATGGCAAATCCAGCATTAGCAGTAGGAGTTTACCTTGACATCCCCTGCTTTTCCTTCCCGCACACATACTCTACAAATCATTGACCCCCTGTTGAAAAAACTGTTAGTGACTGCCCTGTAAACTTAATACTGAAGTAGTGAATTTTAACTCTCATTCTTCTTTCATATTTGCAGTTTTATCTTCTAATTTGACTCCTGCTATTGATGTAATTTAAAGCACAGACTGAAACACAGTTGTGTGCACACAGTATGTGAAGGTGCTGGGAATCTGACTTGGGAACTTTTGAACTGATTTTCCTGTCAAAGCTGCTGGCTTGTCTGCATTTCACCCTAAATGTCATAGAGCAACACACATAAGCAGCTGAAGTCCTAATGTGTTTGAAAATACACCTTCCACGTACATCACATATGAGATTTTTCTGGTTAGTCTCCTTACAGGTAGCAGTAGATACAAAACTCTTGTGTGTTTCAAAGCTGCTGACTCAAAACCAGCACCCTCTCATGCCAATATTGCTATTCCAGTGTCATTTTGACAATATTTGATGCTTCACCTATTTCTCCAGTGTTTCCCAAAAGCAGCAGCAGTGCTTTTGAGCTGTGAAGCTCATTTTCTTTCAAGAATATTTTTACAGTCTGAAAACTTGGTTGTGGGGGTAAGAAGATTCTGAACAGGCTGACAGAACTTGATTATTCTGTTCAAGCGTTCTTGTTTTTTGAAGGTTCTTGGCAAAGGGAAACAGTTCTTTCTGTGCTTAGGTTAGAGGCAGAACAGTGAAGATCCAGCCCAAGACTAAGGACTGGCTAAAGGGCCTTCAGGAGGAAATTGCACGAAAACGGGACAGCATTGTCCCCATGTCCCCCACGGCAAACTCCCACCTTCTGGAAGAAAATTTTGACTTCTCAAGTTTGGACTATGAGTCAGAAGGTAAGCAACATGCTTCTAAGCTAAGTAGTGAGAAATTGCTTTGCTGACTTTAGTTGCACAGAGTCAGTGTGGGACAGTATAGTGTCAGTGGTACCTTAATTTGTAATGAAGCCACACTTATTAAAAAGGCTACTGTAATTAAAGCCATGACCTGACTGTGCCTGGGCATAGAACTGTTACTTATATCATCCTGTCAATTCAGTGTTACATGTTAGCAAATTCAATATATGATACAGCTGCCTGTAGAGACACATTGTAATGAAACTCGTGGTGTGGTTACACAAGAATCTTGCCCAATCTATATATTAAATTATTAAATTAACTGAGAGTATAGATTAATTAATCGGGAGTGTAGAGAGACAAAGAATGAATTTTCTTATTAATTCTTTGTTATCTAATATTTTAATCCAGGTGATATAGAGGATGAAGATGATTATTTAGAGGACGCTCTGTGTCAACACCTAGCAGCAGACACAGCAGAAGATACACACTGTACATCCACAGCTCTTTCAAACAAATCTGGACAAACCCCCCGCCTGTATAAAGGTAAAGTATCCACCTTCCTTAAGGTAAGACCTAAAGGATTGTTGTTTGTTCTCCTGTTATTTGTATTTCCCTGTTCGTTTATATTTTCATTCTAGCTTCTCCTGTAATACCTATTCATGCTCAACTCCCCTTGAGTTAGTGACTGTAGTTGAGGTCCTCAGGCATAACAGCAATACAAATGATAAAATTCATGATGATTCTCCTCTCTAGGATAGGGCAAGGCAGGAAAGCTGAAAAATGCCTTTCTAGACAAAGGAAATTAAATCTTTTTATCCATTTGATGTTGTTTGGCACCAGAACATACAACAAAAAAATCGCATGCTATTTTCTTATTGGTGAGGGCCAAAGCAAAATCAAACCAGAAGAATCCTGCTGATTCAGTGATGGGCTCAACTCTGTCCTTTGAGCAGTAGCAGTGGCAGAAGAGTTAGCTGTAAGCTGGGAGGTTGCTGTGTTCAAATTATTTCAGAGGCCTGAAGTTTCTCCTTTGTTCCCATTTGATTTATTCATGAAGGAGTCTAGGTTCATGGAATATATATATACATATAATAATTCTATAGGTACCTCATGAATGTGTAACCTTTTTCCTCAGTTACCTGGCTTGTTTGCACATTATTGTGAAGTGACTTGGTAAAAAGAAGATAAAGCTGTGGAGAGAAAACTGATAAAAACTGAGGCAGGAACGAGCCAAGCCAGTCTTACAATGGGATGTGATCAGGACGTGCTTGAGTGGCCGAACGTTGACAGGCTGGGATATGTATTTAAACACCTGATTGTGACAGCAGTGATTCAGTAGCTGTCATTCTGCACTCTCTCAGAAGTGCTTTGTCTTCTGACATAAAAATGAAAACTTTTAATACCCTCAAAGGTTGAGTCAGAAGTAGAGTTCAAAAAGATTAAACAAAATTCATACACTTACACAGACAGATTTTCCAAACAGAGTGATTTATGGCTTTCTTGCCCACCTTGAGTCATAGGTTGGGTTCAGTGTGGCCAGACCCACAAGCCTATCCCTGAGTAAAGGAGTGATCAGTCATTATTAAATACTGTGAAGTCAATCACTTTGTATTATAGGGTGCCTTGCCCTCAAATCACCTCTGGCCTATTGTGTGATGATTCATTAAGCCACAGAGAATTGCAGTGAATCTTGTCACTCACACTAACTCTTCTCCACAAAAAATATCACAAAGTAAATAGAGGTAATGGGGTATAGTTTGAAGGAGGTCAGGGAGGGGTCATGGTCTCACATAACTCAAAATATTATATATTCAATTAAGCTTGAAGTGTCTGCAATTTCAGATTCCTCCATAAACTCCCAATTCAGCCTGAATACCTTCTAATTGAAGGTATGATGACTGTGTAGCTGGTGGTAGGCACGGATAGAAAACAGTGACAGGCACAATAGTGTGTGTGTGTGTGTGTGTGTTTCTGAGGCCAGGGAAGGGCACAGCTTCACGAAACTGGTGTCCCTGCCAGCAGCCTTTCAGGGATGGAATTGAGTGGTAATGGCTGGCTTTTGTTGTGTTCAGTTCTACTGCCAGAACTTCAAACCATGCCTCCAGGTGCCTGCATGACTCCTCGGATCCTGCTGATGAGCCCAAATCTGCAGCTTAGAAGTACTGAAAATGCAGAGAGCACGGGAGGGCGGGCTGGGCAGACCAGAGGCTGTGTCTCTGTGGCTGCCATCTGCTGCTGAGTGGGAGCAGGAAGCTGTGAGGCAGCTCGTGATCCCCTGCAGAGCACAGCTTTCGAAAAACAAGGGTTTGTTTACAAATGCCTGAAGTGTAAGAGACTGCTGCTGCATAATTCCTTCCCCATCTCTCCAAAACACAGGGACAAAACTAAACCCAGTGGATCTTGGAGCTCTAAAGAACAAGAGCTGCATAGCTGGGCAGCCATGGCAGGGTGAGAGGGCTGAAATCAAAGTCCACACTATAGCAGATGGAGAAGAATAAAGCAATCCATACTTCACCCCTCTCCAGCTGTCAGAAAGGCTTAGGTGGGATGAAAGACTGAGTAATTAGGTAGTGATGTAAGGTGCAGCCAAGAGCCATCAGATTGAGGCAGCTGTACCTTTTAGGAGATGTTGCTGGAAAGCAGAGATGTCATGATTGAACTGTTCAGACAGATTTTTCTCTGATATAAAAACAGTTCTCCTGTGCAAGAAGAGGTGCCTGATCCTCAAATGGAATTCCTGTGTTTGGGATGGAAAGCAAAGAATCCACCATGACTAGCCATGACAGTTTGAATGGGAGCAGGTTGCCACTAAGTCTAGCTGTGAAAATCTCAGAATCTAACAAGGTGCCCAATAACCCTGGAATGCGATGCAGGCATTCTTTGTGTTGGTGCAAACAGCTAATAAATGGTGGAAAAGGAGAGAGAAAAGCATTTGACAAAAGGGGAGATGTTTCCTGCAGTGGGAGCAGGCAGACACTGGGGGAGAGCAAAACATGTGAATGGAGCTGTGGTGTTGCTGAGAGACCTGGCTGAGGCTTGCTACTCATGGTCACCTCTCTCCTGATCTCTCAGAGCTGGCATGCCTCACCCAGTGTGTATCTAACCCAGACACTTGCTAATGTCCCTAGATGATGCAGACCTCGCTGATTTGAAGCGGGAGCTGGAGGCCAGCGGGGAACGCAGCCGCCGCATTCCCAGCAGGTCTCTGTCCATCCCTACCCGGCCTCAGCCACTGCAGCCACCACAGAGGCCTCCCCCTCCCGGTGAGTTGAACTCTCTTTAACGTGGTGCTGGCCCCAGCTGAACAGCTTCAGCCTGCCCTGTCTGGGTGACAAAGAAGGTCATACCTTGTTCTGAAATGTCAGGCTGTCGAGGGACTTGGACTTGCTTCCCAGCCTGTTTCAGCCTGAGTATTACTGCCATTAGTAATGGGAGAAGTTAGTCTTCAGGAGGACAGACACTCCACAAAAGAAATGCCTTTAGTAAGGATAGAATAGCCAATATGTTTCATACTAGCTCAGGTTAGTAAGTTGAGCAGCCAGTTTGTGGCAATAAAGATAATTGGTATTTATGCCTGCTGACTTCTGCAGTCACTGTGTGTTTTCTTGCAGTTTTTTGGATTCTGAATTAATTGTAATCAGAATTTTAAAAACCTTTGACAAAATACTTATTTTGGACAGTTTTTGTCCTTTTCTTCTTCCCAAGCAATTCTTATGTTTATGAAAGAAATACAAAGTGGATTATGATTTTCAGCGAGGCACAAGGGGAAGTGATGGTTTTTACCTAAGCTCTGCCCCCCTGAGATGCCATCCAGAGCTGTGCTGCTCCTGTTTTTATGGCTACTTCTGGATGAAAGCTAATTGCTAGATGAGCATAATCACCTTTGCCTCCTGTATTAGACAAGCTATACATCATGTTTTTCTTGCAGCCCAAAATTCTCTCTCTTGTGTACATTTTCCAGACTCAAATTAGAAGTTCTGTGATGCTCACCTGATAGAAGATGATTCTTTAGGATTATTCCCATTCCTTTTTGAATCTGTTGCATAGAAGTGCCAACATTGCTATGTGTATTTCTGTGCCTAGAATGCAATGTTAATGCTCAGATGAGGTTATCTAATTAATTAAATGAAAGAAAGACTAACTACAAAACTGTTTCCTGAAACAGTTCAAGATTTTGAGAGGGTGATGGAATGCACATTGGTTTTGCTCCATTGCAGATAAAATTTTGTACTGGCTCTTGAATGTAAAAAGCCATTTTTTATTCCTTTTCCAGCTGGAACATCAGGCAAAAAGTCCCCCTCAGATGGTTCCCTCTCTCCAGGAAGCCATTCCACCTGCTCCATCCTGGCAACAGCAAAGCTGCTTCCCGGAGCCCCTCAGCAGCCAGTGAGTCCTGCTGCCCAGCATGGCCCCTTGGCACGGGCCTGTTCCCTCCCATCCACACTGAGAAGCACTGCAGGATGCACCTGTCACACCAGGAAGGAAGTCCATCACATGCCTGAGCTGCAAATGCCAAGATAACTTCTTGTACTGTAATACTAAACTGTAGGCCTGTTAGGCAGCACAAAAACATTAATAAATGAACAGGAGTTAGGAAGGCCAAAGAGGGAGAGAGAGAATGAGTGGTGTAAGACCAGGGCATTGTTGCTGCTTTCTGACAGATGCTAACTTGAATTTTCAACACTATCATCATATGGTTTAATTCTTTTCTCACCTCTGTTTTGGTGAGCCATGCTAGTGCCCAGAATGCAGAAGTCTTGACCACTGCCAGCAAGGCTGTTAGTCCCCTGAGGAGACCAAGACCAGAATGTGGAAATGCCTCTTCACTCCTGCCTTGCTGGATGAGGATCCCAATGCCTTGAACAAGGGATGGCTGAGGGAGCAGCTGTGGCTCTCAGGCACCGGGCTTTTGTCAGCTGCCTGCAAAGATGTACCATTTGCTAAAAGATTCCCATTTCTTTAGTATTTATAGATCACTGAATAGCCATTTGCAAGAACAGAATTTCACAGGTGTACGAGCTTAGCTGTAAAATTAGAGGTGTACAAGAAAAATCAGTTTTCTCAAGATGATTTTCTTCTTTTTTTTTTTAAGCCCAAAGTCCGGACTGGAATAAGCAAACCTTACAACGTCAAGCAGATCAAAACCACCACAGCTGAGGAAGCAGAAGAAGCTATTAGATGTCTTATGGAGGCCAAAGGAGGTAAGCACAGCTTCCTAACTGACTTCTAAAAATCTTTAAATAAAGAAAAATGTAGGTGTATTCATCTCACCATAGCCCAGATGCACATATTCCTATTGGGAATTTCACCTGAATACATTCTTGCAAAATCGTATGTGGTATTCTCTGTCAGTTCTGATAATATTAACCTTTTTTCAAAATTATTAAAATTTTATTTTTTGTTGTAGAAACTGCTACTAGTAGAACCTTGGGTTATTTATGCCCAGATTTAGTCAGAAAAATTAAAATATAAAGATGGAGCTTTACTAAACTGATGGTGCCTGTGTTAGCTCAGAGTTGCATAAAGGATATTTACTGCTCTATTTACTGAATGCTCACTATTCCAAGCAGAACTACAGAGCAAATGCAGCTCTAGGAGGAATACCCTGGATTCTGTTCACATTTGGACAGCAAGTACAACTGTAACCTAGATAAAAGCTTGCACTACTTCAGCTTGAATAGCTAAGCTAAAAGACTACTCTGTGTTTAGGCTCTCTGTGTAGTCCCTGGAGAAGAGAGCTTCTTGCAAGGGCAAGTTAGGGCACAAAACTACCTTAGGTACTGTGAATGTACCCCCCAGGGTTGCATGCAGTCTTTCTGCTGATGCTGTGAATGAAAATGGCTACCTGAGTTTGCAAGGCTCTCAGTTTAGAAGAAAACCACCCCTTTTCATTTATACCTACAATGAATACCATCTGCAATAATCCCATTTATTCAGAAATATCAAAAAGGCATCTTGATGCCTTTTTGATATTTCTGAATAAATGGGATTATTGCAGATTGTATTCATTGAAATCAGATTTATTCTCCATTGATTTTGAAATTCAGATTCATTTGGTGTGGGTAAGAAAACTACTCTGGTCAGCATCACTTCCAGTCCCTTGTACAGTACCACCAGTTGGCATTCACAGTTCTTTCTAAAACACTCTACAAGATGCACTTGGTATCATTAACTTGGTTTTCCAGCTAATGGCAAAAGGAATGCTCAGAGCTTGAGCCCAGTACTCCTGAGCCCCCAGCCAGTGTTTTATCCACCTGGCCAAATGGTGGCACAGCACTGCTGGTTTGGCATGAAATTATTTCAGACAGGGAAGTTTTCCCCTAACAGCCTCTTACAGATGTTACAGGATTGCAAAGCTCTGTGCTTAGTTCCAAAACATGAGCTGGCCCTATAGGCATGAACATTTTGGGAGACATGGTTGTGAAAGAAATTATCTTAAATCTATGTTCTGATCAGGCTGAGATGCCATATTTGCTTTTGCTTTTCAGCTGTACAGGAAGATGCAGTAAAGCCTGTTCCAGCCAGAAACCAAACTTCCTGCAAACCTGAGGCTCTTCCCAGCATCACAAAGTCAGCTTCAGGAGCAGTGCCTGTGCCTCATCGCCCACCACCCAAAGTTCCAACTCCAAAGAAGCCAGTGCCCCTGCAAAGGACAGGAGCCAAGGGGGAAAATGTAAGAGAGTGGCAGCAAAATGCACCCAGCCTCCATTACACGGTGTGAATGATGGAGGTTGGAACCAGGGTGAATGACTGGTTGTTTTTTACCAGGGTGAATGACAGGAAGTCCTGTCAAGTCAGCAGGTGCTGGGATAATTTTGTGTATTACAGTCACAAAGGCATAAAAATGCAAGAAAGATTGGAAAGAGAGCCATATGCAGCTTTTCTATTTGTCAGTCCATTCTCTTGTTGTTCTTCTGGTTTGTCTAAACCTTGTCAGGATTTAAGACTCATTTGTTCTTTATCAGAGTCTTTAATTTTGACCATGAGTGGTCTGCTCTGTAAGGATTTGAGGCAGCTTCTTCATCAGTTCTGTGTCCTGTGTCCTTTCTTGCTTTGCTTACACACCTTGTAATGGGATTCAGCCTTTCAGTTTGAATTCTGGAGTCTACTCAAGAGTTCATGTTCTCAAAAATACAAAGCTGTAGGTGTTCAGGTTTTAATGTATGCCAAGTCTCTACAGTGGAGACAATAGTTCACCTCTAGAGCTGCTAAAATGATTATCTAATTTGTAAAGCAGTTTGAGCACAAGAGGAAAGACAAATATAGCATTTATATTCTTCCTTTGACAGAATCTCTGCTAAAGAAGCTCTCTTCTAAATTGTTAGGGCTCCTGCCTTACCTTCCTTAGGTAAAGGCATTCACCCCTTCTCTATAATGGACTTTGTGCTCTCTTTCCTTAGCAGATTCACCAAAAACCCCAACCCAGACAGCACAGTCTATGCCGAGGATGGTTTGTTTAGGTTGTCACCATTCCCAAGTCACTCTTGAAAGGTGCTGAGAGGGATTGCTATTTTGGTGTTAGTTATGTGGGAGCTTCGGCAGGAATAGATCTATTTCAGGTTGACTGCCCTGGAATTCCACTCCTTCCTCCATCTGAGGGAGGTCAGATGGGAGGTGTGTACTGGAAAACCTCTACCCCATCCCCCTCTACCACAGTCAAATGCAGGCAACTTAACAGCACATAGGGAGAAGTGGCAAGGGATATGTCCACCATGAGATACTGACTAAATATTTTGCTTGCATTAAAAAGCCTGTACATTATCTTTTAATACTCTGCAAGAATAATAAAGAATTTAAATGCTTTCATTCAGTCACACAGAGTGTGAGAAATCTCTCCTAGGCTAAGTTGGGCTTGTTATTTATATACTTTTAAATGGGGGATGTATGCTAGACTGGACTTTGAGACCTTATTTTATCTTCAGTTGCCAGCATCAGTAAGACAGGACACAGCCCTTAATGCATTTATTGGGTTAGCTTAAGGTAATTCCCCTTCAACCTTATCTATCCAAATAAGCTACACCTAAAGGCATGGATGGGCCTCCCCATGCAATCTTGCTTAAGTAATATTAGTCAGCAGAGAAATGGAACAAATAAATTACTCCTCAGAACTGTGTTAATTTGGCCCAGAGCAAAAATTCTAACCTGCAAAGGGACATGGTCAGAAGGAGCTGTGACTAAACAGGCTGTAGGGTCCTGCTCCTTCACTAGCTCTCTGAGGGTGAGTGCAAGGTGCAATGCACGAGCCCAGAGCCCAGCAGGTACAGTGGAGCACTTGCTCTCAAGCCTCCTCTTTGTAGTGCTTTTTTTTTCCTTCCAGGACTGTCAGCTGTTCTTAGTAATGCTGTCAATTAGACTTGCACCAGTAGTGACTCAGAGTTTAAGGTCCTTTTTTGTTCTCACATTTCTTCTTCCATTTCCCCCTCAGGCCATGTCTCCAGAAGACCCATTCGACCAACAGACAGCACAGTCTCCTTTTGGCTTGCTAGAGCCCCATCTAGATGCTGGAGCTATTCTTAGACCAACCAAGATCACTCCAATCCCTAAACCCAGAACACTAGCTGGGAAGCCTCCAGAGAGCAGGGGGAGCAGTGAAAGGCAGCCCCTGTCAGCAAGCACAGCTGAGGCCATGGTGCTGCCTCCCCAGAGCGCTGCCTTTGCCCCAAAGGTGCCACCACGAAGGAAGAAGTCGGCTCCTGCAGCTTTTCATCTCCAAGTTCTCCAGGGCAGTGACAGCCCCCTTTTCAGTGGCTCACTGTACAACTCCAACAACAACAACCCCGGCTCCTGCCCCCAGACTCATGGCCCTGCTCGCTCGGCTCCCGCAGCCTCGGCCGGCCCTGCAAACAGCACAACTCAGCCCTTGGCCCCCAGTGCTGCAGAACTGATGGGGAAGCTCCAGGGCCCTTCTGCACCAGCAGGCCAGCATCCACAACAACTGGATACCGGCTCCTTTCCAGAGAACACCAATCTTCTGGACCTGGACATTCATTCTTCCTTCCCTCTTTCCACACAGGCACCGTCAGCTGCTTCTCCAGCACACACTTCAGAAAGTTTAAATCAGCCCAATGTGAAAGATTTCAGTCACTGGGTTACATTTAGTGATGATGAAGACAGCAGTGCAGTGGCAGACGGGTTCAACAAACTGCTTGTCTTACAACAAAACAAAAATACCTTAAAGAAAACAAATACTGACTTAGAGTTGTAAAATTTTACTCCCTTAGGGTTCCAAAAGAAATCATAATTATGATGCAAAATTTTAAGAAAAAATCTTTTTTATATTTAATGAAATAGATCATCTGTCCATGCTACATTTCATTTTCACATTTAAAGACACGGCCCCTGGAGGGAAGTATATGAAGTACATACAACCTAACATTACCTACAGCTCATCTGAAAACTTCCTTATTCTAAGTTATTTCTTTTTATTAATCCATCTTAAGATGTTTTATTTCATTTCAAGTACAAATCATATGCAAGAACATGTAATGATGTATGGAAAAAAAGACATTTAAAAAAACCCCAACATTTTCCTTTGGAATATATATTTTAATCAATTTCTGTTGTTTGAAATAAAGCATCCTTACTTCGAAGAGTTTGTCTGCCAGTTATTCTGGAACAAACATCCCAAGGAGGAATGTACACCAGTATAACAACAGCAGTAACACTGGTTTTGCTCTGCTGCAAGTTTCCAAAACTCACCCTGGTTTTTGTTCCCAAGCCCATGACCAACAGCACACTTTGAAAAGGGACTGTAGTTTTCCAATGCTGTTTCACTGCAGAGATGCTATAGGCTGCTTGTGCGTTGTCCGTGCAGATCCCGAGGAAATATGGGAATGGTTGAGACCAGCTGCTGTCACAGGTGTTGGCATGGGCATGTCTTATGCTAAAGGCAGTTCAGCAGTTCAGGAGTTGTGTCCCTGTTCCCACTCTCTTCACAAGCAAATGCCACGTCGGTCTTCTGTTTGCACAGCGCAGGTGAGGAGCGAGCTGCTCCTTTCTGCCTTGCCTGTGGGGCAAAACTGTGCACGATGGATGCCACTTGTGCAAAGCAGGCAGCTAATAACCACATTGCAACTTGGCCTGGCAACTTGTTAAGAGAAGCATCAAGATCTTTCATTAATAAAGGAACGAGAACATTTTTAAGCAGGTGGTGAAGCTGAAAAAACAACTAATTTTCAAAAAAATTTTTAAGATGTATTAAAAAAGTTAAGGTTTTTTTTCCTTTTTCTACAGGAAAATTAATTAGCTTGTTCTGAGCTTCCTGAACACTGGGAATGCAGCCATTTTCTTCCTCACAATGCCTACCTGGTTCTCTGCCACTGCCAGATTTTGAACACAAGAGATCCTGTAAGAGAGGATGCTGCCTTTGAGCACCTGTCATCCTCCTCTGCTCTCTCGTTTGCCAGACACTTCAAAAAAACCCCCAGAACCTTCAAAGGCCAAGCCCATAAAGCCCAGTGCTAAGCTTCTCCTGTGAGTGCCAGCATAACGTGGTTGCAGGCTGGTGAATAATATAAGACACTCATTTCCCTACAAGATGACACAAAGCCTTTGCCTCTTGGTCCTCCTCTTAAAAAATACAGTGAATATTTATGGGCACATCTCAGTATGAAACATTAGCAGTAAAAAAGAAAGAGTACGGTATATGATCACATCCAACATTTTCTGCAAAGATAATTAACAGCTCTAGGACAGCTAATTTACATGTTAATGAAAGTGTTAGCAGGAAAGCCAATTAAACTGGATTTATACAAGTCAAATAAAATCTGCTTTATTACTCTCCTTGAATAAGAGACGGATGTGGCCTTTAGCATTCTATCTGATGTCTGTGTCTGTGGCAAGCTGCCCACTGCAGGATGAATCCCGGCAGCTCACTGCTTTATGCTGTCAGTGACAGGAGATATTGCTCAGTCGCAGCAAATCAAGGCAAGGGGACAGACAGTCCAGCTGAAAAGGTTACAGCACAGAATGAGGAATCTCCTGTCCCAATAAATTACCTTCCACACTGGTGCCCAACGTCCCAGCCAAGTGTTTTCTCAGAGGCAGGAGCTTGTGACCTGCTTGTGATCTGGTTCTAGTTTCAATGGTCACAGGAAGAAAAGCAGAGCCAGACTTGCTCCATGTTTGGGAAAGCAGTATGGAAAACTCAGACTGCAGGAGGCAGTGACTCTCTCCTTCTCATCTGGGATTAAGCCAGGCCCCACCTGCAAAAAGAGGCCAAGTAACCTGAACCCTTACTACCTGATGTCCCCAACCAGGGAATCACAGCACAGCTCAGCTGCCCAGCCTCTTTGGGACAGAATCAATGGAAATCAGTGTCCTCAGGGACAGCTGTCACTCACTCTTCAGGGGCAATTTGTATGCTTGTAGGGAGTGGTTATCCTGTGGCATGCTTTTGGTCATGAAGCCAGCACTTGGCAAAAAGTGCTGATGGCAGCTGTGAAGCCAGGTGTGGTTTACCAGACACAAGTCTACAAGTGTCTGCCTCAGTATGTGGGGCTTTGGCAAGACACCACACGTGAGCTTGCCCATGGCTGCAGTCCTGCAGCTTCAAGGTGCAGCAGGCACCCTGGTGGCTCTGCTGCAGTCGTGTTTGGGGTGGGTAAGTGGCTCTCCCTGGTAAAGCAACTGCCTGACTCAGCTTTTTTGGGGAGATTATCACTGAAACAAACAAAAGAAAGAGAACCAAGAAGAATTGGTCAGAATTTTCACTCTGACAAAACAACATTTTTGCTTTTCCCTTTTCATCCAGAATTGGGATTTTCACCAGATGGAAAACTTTTCATCATCTTTTGTGCATCAGGAAGCACAAATCTCAGCAGAAGCCAGTTCACAGCACTGTAATCACAGCAATTGAATACTTGGTTGCTGTTACTGCTAGAAACACCAACAGTTATACCAGACTGCTGGACAGCAAGAGGACTGACCAACCCATTTTAGCCTTCCCTTCCCATCTCACCATTTCCTCTTGGATGCCACAATGCAGATGAAACATCATCTCCTCAGATAACTCACACACAACCTGCCTGCCACACCTGCAGCTGAGCCACTGGATGGCATTAAGAGTACTTTGAGACCTGAGAATTTACACAAAGACACTACTCTCAATTAGTGTGGCACCAGGAAGCATAAAAGCATCCAATTCCTCATGGGAAGCAGACATGAATGCTCAGCCACAGAGCTGCTGGCCCTCAAACTGATGTCTGTACACACTTCAGAAGACACTGCTGCAAAATCCAAAGCACAACTGACAAACTGCTCAGTTTGGCAAAACGTGCCAGACCAGCCACCCCAGCACTGTGCCTCCTACCCAAGCAAAGGGTAATGTCACATTCTCCCAGCACAAGACAAGCACTAAAAGATATGCAGATCTTTAGCAAAAAAGAACATGGTCCAGAGTATTCAGCTGGCAGATCATTAACCTTTAATACACTTTGTGACATATCCAAGACATTTTTAAATCACATTTCATTAGTATATTCCAAAAAAATAAAACCCAAACCCCCAAACCCAGCAACCCCCCACCAAATATTAGTTTTAGAAGTTACACATATATAAATACAGTTACAAAAAGGAGAACATTGCCTTAAGAATTCCAGTTACAAAACATAGCTGCATTTGCTAAGATTAATGTTTTAAGTCACTGATCTGAATCTGTGTAAGCCAAAGGAGTCTACTAAAACTAATAGATTTGTCACATGAAACAAGCATTCAGTTATTAGAAGTCTTGTCTATTCACCATGAATTCCACATACTCTATTCTGTGCATACAAAGTGTACTAGTATATTTACACTCTGAAGTCTAAACCAGTGTAAAAAATATAGACCTCTTCAGGAATAATGACATCTCTGTTACATTTTCTATACAAAATACTGCCATGCAGTGTTCTTACCTACCTCTCAGTTAGGGGGGGAAATGCTCTTTTTGCCAGTGTAGCGCTGTACAGTCTCTGTACTGCTCTTGTGAATTTTACTTTGCAGTTCCCTCAATTTCCAGTGTAAAGCTGCATTCAAGTCTATAAATTCAAGTGTATTTTGAGCTGCAGTGTCCTCCTGGGCTGCCCTCAGGGCCTGGCAGGACTGCAGTGCCCACAGCACCAAGCCCATGCAGGACTGCAAGGTGCACCCCACATCCTTGGCAGCTTTCAGAGCCATCATTTGAAGGACACCAATACTGGATCCATCTCACAGGAGTGGCATGAGGAGACACCTCAAGCCTGTCATCAATACAGACCTCATTTAACAAATGGTCAGCAAAGGCAGTACAGCTCTACACAGCCCATGTTTGTTTTCAGAGAGGGATGCAGGTGTAAAGAAAGGGACTAAAGAGACCACAATAACATGAGGCTGCTTCTAGCCACAGTGCAAATTATTTAAGACTTCAAAAAAGTGACTGTGCACTGCCATTTTTTCATCTAAAAATACTGATTTCTCATCAGTACTGTTAGGGTATCCTAAACATAAACAAACCTAAACTCAAATAAGACACTGCTGGTTTTCTCTGTATCTACACCAGCAGACACATTCAGGCCCCAGGAAACCAAAACATTTGTGGTAATTTCCAGTGAGGCCTTAAAATCACCTGATTTTCTTCCTGCTTTACCTTTTTCTACCTCAGCTCCAAACTGTAAGCATCAGCTTTCTTGTCAGGGCCTACATCTGTTGTGCTCCACCTGAGCATTTTCAATGCTCTTCTTTAAATCAGCTACAGAAAAGTTTCTGTATGAGTAACACGAGCCAGGGATTTGACTGTACCAACTTCTTGGAGTCTCCCAAGAGCAAAGAAGAAGAGCTGAGCTCATCAAACACACCCTCAATGTGAACAAGCACAGAACTGCCCTGTCTGACCAGACACACACAGTCCTAACGAAAGCAGTCTCACAAGTTGCTAAGGTTAGGAGGGAAATGTACAAGATGAACATTTCTTTTTTTTTTATTTTCATTAAAACAACCACAATTTTCTAAGCAAGGCAAGCTACCAACCTGTCTCTTTCTCATGCAGAAAAACAGATGCTGTGTCTGCTGACCAATCTGGCTGATGTATTAAAAGAAAAGGCAAATGACAAAACCTCCTAAAATTGGGTCATTAGGCCAAAGTGCTACCTTAATTCACTTGAATACTAATTTTTCAGGCTCCAGTCAGGCTACCCTAACATGGACAGTAAACCAAAACTTTGCAGCAGCCACATGCTGCTTCTCCCCTTTGACACAGCAAATAACCACCTCATTAAATTGCTTCTAATCCTGTCTATAAGACTTTATCCCAGGTGTATATTTACCTGCTTTCAAAGCAAACTTAGGTTGTTTTTTTTTTTTTTTTTTTTGCTAAAAGAAGATACCCTGGGCACACACTTTCTTTTTGCCAAGTTTGTATTTGTTTTGAATGTATTTTGAAAAAGAAATTGGACAGGTGCCTAAAGTTCAAGATATACAAGAAATTATTCAGCAGCAGATACTATTGACACAGCACCCTTGTAATTCTGCAGATCCCCTAACAAATGTTAGAAGTTTCTGCGTTACACCAAACACAGGACACAAGCAGGAAAGGATGGCAAAACCTCAGTCTCACAGTTCTGGGGCTAAAACATCCTGAATGAACTTCAGTGTACGTTGATACAAGAAAGCATCCTTCTTCTTTGGCTTGCAAATATTTAGATGATTAACATCCACTGGAATAAGGTCTCCAATTCCTATGTCTGGAAAAGGGGAAAAAAAAATTAAAATCAAGTTCATAAGACAACCTAGAGTGAAAAGAACATCTTGCATTAGCAACTTCTCTCTCAAAAACAACTTCTCCTATCTTCAGTAAAACTCTTTGTCCGTCATTATTTTTTCATGTGCTAAAAGCATCAGTACACACAGTTATGGCCTGATAGAGCTCTGTGCTGCCACAAAACCCACACTGGCACAGGAGACACCATTAGGTCAGAGTTCTACTCTCTTTTTTATGAAATACACAAATGTAAATTTCTCCATACAGACAACTTTGCTGAAACAAAACTTCATTTTACTGATAGCACAGTCCTAACTGAGGTTTAAGCATTGATGTGATCAGGGATGTAGTTTAATGCATGGTAACCTGAACCTGATCACCACTAATTGCCCATATCCCTTACACAAACTGACATGGATGTGAAAATCTGGACCACAATGAACCTGAAATATGCTGCCAATCACTATGCACATTTCCAGATAAATGAAATATTTACATTGCTTAATTGTAGAGTACAAATATTCCATTTTCAGCTGATTTTGGGCACACTACAGTACAAAATTTATTCTTTCTTGACAGCCATCACCACTAACTTTCCAGTTAGGATGCAGTGACTGCCACATTCTAGTTTATTGTCTATTCACTCATCACCGAGAGAAATCCTCCATTTTGCTTTGACTTCTGTATCTCAAACCATGTAAAACTACACCAGAGCAGGATGAAGCTCTGCTTTCATGTGCCCAAGCAGACCTGCAAGAAAACAGGGAGCTGTTTACCCATCAGCCTGTGTTTGGAACAGGCCTGCTACAGACCTGCCATGTGCCCTCTAAAGGTGCTCCAGAGCCCTCATGTGTCACTAGGTGTCACCCCTAGAAGAGGAGACATGCTACAAAATTACAAGTGCACAGCACTCACTGGGGTTCTGTTATTCAGCCCTCTTTTTAACCTTATTTTGTTAAATAATAACAAAAAAAGGTTTGGTTTTTCAGTCCTTGGCAATAAGACTGCATCAGCAACAATTTTGCAAAGCATTGCTCCTCAAGAGGATCTGCTACAAAAACCTGCTAAATAGTGACTCAGATAAACAGGGATGCACAGCCCACCTTTTCCAGAGCACCTAACCCTGCACTCAAGCTTGTGGATTAGCTGGTGGAAAGCCTGATCTAAAACCTAACAAAGCAGTGGCTTCTGGCCTTACAGTTACCTCAGGCAGTGCAAAAGAAAGACTGAAAATATAAGACTTAAAACAGTTTTCTAAGCTGAACACACATAAACAAAAGCAAGGGAAAAACATGTCTGGTTTCCCCTTCTCCTAAAAAAGGCACAAAGATGAAGGGAACTCTTCAGGAGGCAAACTCTATTGCTGGATGTCATGGTTTGAGCCTGGCACAGAGCCAGTGCCCCCCATGAAAATGCTTCACCCTGGTGTCTGCTGTGAGATGTGACTAGGAATAAGCAAAACAGGCTCCAACTTAAACATAAAGAACACTTTATTACCTAAACTACAGGAAAATAGGGAAAGACTATAAGGAAAAGAAAAAAAATTGAAAACCTTACAAAAACTACTTTCCCCCCTCCCCACTACCTGACTTTCCCAATCCGATACATTCTCCCAAATCATCAACTGCCCAGCCTTGGCCCCACACTTTAGTATACTCAAACTGCAGTTTATGAAGAGGAAAGGAGTCTTTCTTGTTCCATAGGCTTCCCCTGGAAACACACTGAAACTTCGTGTGCTTCCCTGTCACTTCGGCACCGCCCAGAAAAAGTCCTTTTGCCGCTTGTGACATCTTCCTTCCATGCCCAGTGCTCTCACCACTGACGCATGGCCAGAGCTGCTTTTAGGGTTGTCTTTCAAGGATGCCTTGTCTCACTCCAAAAAGGCACAGTCTCTGCTTTGGGACATCTGTCCCCCCCATATTTTTCCAACCCCCTGGGGCCGGGGGGTCCTCACGAATGAACCCTCCTGGTTCTGAGCCACTGCTTCCCCCTAAATGCAGTCTGTGTCACAGGAACAACTGAGTCCATGGCCACAAGAAAAGTCCAGCCAAAAGGCCACTCCAAATCATCTCTCCCCATTCAATCATCTCCACGTTCTTCGGGCCAGGTCCTTGTCTCATCTCATCTCTTATCTCCCTTCTTATTCAGCTTCGAGGAGGATTAGCATTTTTGCAAGGCCCCAATCATGAAAGAAAGGGTTAAAAGTTTTCAGTCTCTGTCTGTCCCTGAATGCTGGTACTCCCACAGGTGCTGCTGCTCCGCCGGCCAGGCTGCACTCTTCCCCCCCCTTTCTCCTCCCGGGCTGGCTGCTATCACATTCAGACGCCGGCTCTCCTCTCTCTCCCTCCTGGGGGGGGGAATGGCTGCCCGATGTCTCTTGGGGCTCCGCCACCCTTCCATCCTTGAGAGCTTTCTCACCCCCATCTCTGTCCAGGCCCCGGGCCTACCGCATGGCTGCCCCTCCCCCGCCCAGCAGCAAGGCTGGACAGGGGAGGGTGATCTGACCTCTTCGAAGCGACGTCCCAAGAGAGAGTGCCAAGGCCAGTGCCCTGCTTTTTAACCCCTGTGTATTCTCGGAGGTGTGTCCAAACCCCACTGGCTACACCAGGTGCCAGTCTCAAACCCAAAACCTTCATTGGTTTGACCACAGCTTCCCAGAATTCCCACTTCTTCCTGGTCAAACCACCACACTGGAGTTCACGAGATGTGGAAGGTAAAGGATTCTTAACACTGAATACCAGCTTTGTGACTTTTTCCTTCCATAAGCAGTTGACTAATTTTCTTTCTTAGTTTTTTAAAGGAGAAAATAGCTGGAGTTTACAGAAGCATCTGAAACACTATGCAGCCTACCTATTCCAAGATAAACCACAACTAATCACAATTCCAAATGAAAGGACTTCAACATCAGACCAGGGTCTACCCTGCTTTTTTAACAGATGTTATTCTGATTTCAGAAAATCAAAACAAACAACTGTTATTTTAAGATCTAAACATAGCTGCTTCTAATCTCAGCAGTCAAAAGTTGAAACAAAACCCCACATACTGTACTAGCCTTATTTTTCTACATTTTTACCATAATATTTATAATCTTTTCTCGTTATTGAAGTTTACATCAACAGATATCAAATTAAATAAATTAAATGGGTATTTCTCACTTACCTGCAGACTCTACAGGTACAACATGCAGTTTTAACATGCTGCCTATGTGTGTGGGTAGGGTTTCTGCAAAACTCAGCACTGAAAATTTCTTGTCTTTGGCAAAAGACAAGAAGTCATCATTCAGCTCTTTAAGGGCAGGAGAATCTGAGAAAGAGCAACATAATTTTTACAGTGTTATAAGATTACAGCATTCTTCTGGCAAGAATGAGAGATGTTTTTATTATATTATGACAGTAAAAGGTGTAGCATTTTGTTTGTAATCCCTTTTTCCAACTAGCATATGCAATAATTTCTTCTGACTCCCCCTTTTCCCCTCACCACTGCAATCAAATGAAAACTACTCAGAATTGCTTGCAATAATTCAACACACAACCCAAAACATAAAAAGGAGGTTTGTTGTTTTTCCCCAGCTTTCTCTGACAGCACAATGAAAAAACCCAAAGCACCAAGAACAGCTTAGCAGAGTTCCTGTTGCTCGATGGTAGCAAAGTGAACATACCCTTGCTGAGCTCCTTAACCTCCACAGATGGGAAGAGGAGATATCTGGCATTTATGGAATATTCAGCCAGCTGGGAACCATGGTGAGGTACGCTATAAAATATGATTCCTCTGGTGTTGTTTACAATTTTATCCATTTCTGGATTCTTGGAAGCATCCACCAGCATCTTTTTGACTAGAAGACCTGGCAACAGAAGCTGAATTAATGCAGGGATTTAAATCACTGGGAAATAATGACCATGCTATATTAACCATGAGACAACTAACCATGTTCTTGCCTTGGTTGATTGGTCCTTAGATTGTCAAATATGTAAGATTAATTTGAAAAAAACCCAAATCACGCTTGAGGAGGCATCAATATAAAATGTCAATGAATGATGCAAATCCAAATTTGATTTCTGTTATGTGTTGCTAATGACATTTACTATATGCCTGATCATGGAGAAAATTTTGCCTCTGGATTTCCATTTACATGAATTTCAACTCATTGAGTTTTTAAATCAACACAGTAAGAACAAACAGCAACAACAATCCTTTCAAAATGTATATGCTATTAAATATAATGCATTAAGAAAACAGAAATCTGTTTTTTCATTTTTAGGTCTTCGCCAATTTTTTAAATAAACTATTCTGAATAACTGCAGTTCTACCTGAATTTGGTTAATGGCTTATTCTGAAACCTTTAATGCAAATAAATGCTTTATACCAAACAGGCAACACGCTTACCACCCATGCTATGGGATACCCACACCAGAGGTCTGTCTCCAATCCCAGCAGCTTTGAGCTTGTCAAGCAGCTCACTGCTCCTGAAAGCAATGGACTCCCTGCACAGAGAAAACAAACACAGGCACTATGGAGCATGACATGTTAAATGTAACGTTAAAACACAATGAATTTTAGTGCTGCACATTTATGAAAGTGAATTAGGTAAACAAATATTAATTATTTCATTAC